ACCACATCACTGGCCGACTTCCTCTACTTCGCAATTGAGGTGTTGTGTGTGCTTTTCGCGTGGGAAACGAAAAACCGTCTGGACAAAGTGCATGAAGTGCGATGTCGGACTCTGGATTTCCGGATGTTTCCAAGATTTCCACACGAAGCCAACATTCCGTTAGATGATGCAGGTGGGAAGAGAGACAACTTATAAAGCTGGTGTCCAAAAATCATGTAAGTAGAAAAAGAATTTATAACTTAAAATTAGATTTTATAAAGCCGGCCGCACACGTGGACTGCGCGACGACATATGGCGTCATTCGTCCCCTTGACTTTATTTTAATGACGACATATGGCGTCGCTCGGCTCTTAAAGGTTAAGAAGAATTGTCCGTATTGCATGGAAAGCAAACAACGACTTGGTGTTTTGAAGCTCAATTTGTCACGAAATAACAGTGGATGGATCAGCGTCTAGCAGTTCTGTTGCACCAGTTGTCTTGCCTTCTGTTAGAGGATAGTAGAACTAATATTCTGCAGATAGTATCACTCAATTTTTCATCTCTGTCATTAATGCAACTTAAAACTGTTCACAGTCTCTCTTTAATTTAAAATAACATTAAAAATCACATCAGTTTCTACATGTTTTGGCCATACTTGGCCATCTTCAGGCAGTTATTCACTTTTCAAAACCGTTGCACTGCACTACAGCATAAGTCAATATATTTCCATGCTATTGCATTCTAAAATGTGTCTGTTTGAGAATGAAAATGTCTCTCGCTGGCTAGTGAGAACATACATATGAAGGGGGCACCAACTGAGTCGTTGTTTGCTTTCCACGCAATACGGACAATTCTTCTTAATGACGAGGCAGCATTACACAATTCATTAATTGCTACACCATGGGCCTCTCTTAAAATCTTCTATATAAAGTAATATCGAATTTCCCTATTGTCCATGGAAATGCAAACAAAGTATATCCAACAACTGATTCAGTGTTTTTTGAAAACATCATTAATATTTTTTCTTGTTATAATACTTCCAATTTTTATATAATCTGAACTTTTGTATTTTTTACATAAGCATTTTTAAATTTGTACGATTAATAGTGTTATATCCATTTTATGATTGCAGTTAAATGGTAGATTTTTGTTGATATGTATTTGCCTGTAGATGGCTGATAGTGGCCGAAACATGTAGCAAATCGACAGCTGAACGCTGACTTTGATGTTTTACTATTTGCTGTGTTGTGGTGGTTCATTAAAGACTTGTATATTGAACTAGATTTAGTTTATTATTGAAGTGTAAAAATGAGCCATTCTGTGGAGCAGAATTAGTGAAGTTAGCTTTGGACCGTAGGTTGGTATTCTATTTTGTGTTTAATTCTGTAGAAAGAGCGAGTCAACATGAGTCTCAATGTGAACTGGGACGTGGATGAGTACAAAACAGAGCATGAGTGTGACGAGCACTGGCAACTGAGGAGAAGCTTCATGTTGGCACACAAGGACAAGTTCCCAGAAGATCGGTTGGTTTGCCTTGCCCAAGTGTTCACAAACACTGAGTTTTTAGGATGCAGGTGAGTAATGCAAACACTGATTTGCTAGTGGGAGAGCCTACATTTTGTTCCCATTATTGTCAGCCTGAAACATTGTTGAATGGCGCCGGGATAGTGAAGTTGATATAGCGACTGGCTATGGGCTGGATGACTGAGGGGTCAGAATTTAAGTCCCTGTAAAGTCAAAAATTATCTCTTCTCCACAATGTCCAGACTGGCCCATCCAGCCTCATATCCAGTGGGTAGTGGGGGCTGTCCCTGGGGATAAAGCGGCAGGAGCGTGAAGTTGACCGCTCACCTCCAACTAGCACAGAGGTAAAGAAAATGTGGATCTATATATCCAGTCGTCCATACAGTTTCATGGCATAGTGCTTAATTAGTTAAGCACAGGAATTACTCTACCTCTTTTACCTTTTACCTGAAACATTGTTGAGTGGTGGTGGTGGTGGTTGTTGTTGTTGTTGTTGTTGTTGTTAGATAGTGATGCAGATTGTTATGTCATTGTCAAGTACACAGGGATCTCATTGATCATGAGGGACTTTGTTTTCCATAAGGTTGCCTAATGACAGTATGGCCCTTCCTTAGAGATGTTTTATGTGCATCAGGTCTTCTTTCCTCTGAGTTTCTGTAACTTAAGGTAAAGCTGATGCTATGAAGATGTGTGGACAGTTGTGGTGTATCTCCATGCCTTCTTTACTTTTTCACCAGATGGATGTGCTCAGCTTCATGTTCCATCTGCTTTATGCCCTGGAAAAGAACCTCTAATTTCAGTGAGGTAATGGGCTGGGTGGAGAAGAGAGAAATGTGTTGCAGAGGCAGTTAGTGCTAGACGTGCTGGTGCCATCCTTGTGTTGCTGTCCTGCACACCACAGCACCTCAGCTGTGAATCCAGTTTTTATTCTAAAGAATTTAGTGGGGAAATATCTTGGAAAATAGCTCTTGGCTGTCGTACAGGAAGTTGGGGCTCATTATGAGGTTGGTAGTTGAGTCAAATGGTTGCAGGACGTTTGGTCCAGTGTGGAAGGTCTAAGAAATAAAATATCAGGCTGAGGAAGTAGTCTTAACCATTGATTTAGTGTACTGACAAAATGTCCAGTCAGAAGAGTCTATAGCTCAGTAATGGGTAGAAAAAGACAGTAAATCCTTTCAAGTGGAAATTGTATGCTGTTATTCTTGAATGATTTCTTTGGGTATGAAATATTTTTTGTTAACAGAAGTAACGGAAAAAAAAGAAGGAATCTGATCATATTCCATTTCTTGGGCTGCCGCAGCGAGATCTGTTTCTGTCATATAAGCGGTACCTCAGATGTATGATGCTGGGCAGTTTTGCCCTGTACATTCAGAAAATGTTAGAACAAAATGCTGGAGCAATATACTGTTCATTGGTGTTGTTATAGTGGCAGTCTGTGTTGAAAGAATGGAAGTGGTAACACAACAATTTAAATGGAGAATTGGTGGTTGTTCTGAACTATTTTTATGTGGTCTGGAAAATAATGAACACAGCATGAACTGGGCAACATTTTTGCATTTTGTTTTCTTGGAGACAGCATGAGAGCAACACAGTCGCAAGTGGAGGAACACTGCTGTGTATGTAGACTGATTGTTTCACAGTAACCTGTTGTTCCACTTATGCTGATGTTTGTTGCTCACATTTTATAGAAGCTACATTAATGCCAGCAACATAACCACCATCTTAATGAGCTGTGTAAGCTCTACAGTTTTAAAAAATGTAAAGTTAAAGTCATCTTCGTGTATCCCTAATGTATTCTGTGCAGCGAGTTTGTTTTGAAAATTATTACATTTTGACCATAATTGAAAGTTGATTGCCAGAGGCTTAGCTATCCATCTGTCTCTGCTTGTGATGGTGTATGAATGAATAGGATTTTTTTTGCAGATATCCAGCAGAAACAATGCGACTGGTAGCAAGTCTTGCCCAAGGGGTAGCTGATGAATACCGCGAGAAGCAGAAAGGCCGACTCCAGCGAACATTTGTACAGGCTTCTGATGCTGCGGGTGCAAAGGCTAAAGGTAGAATGTAAACATGAGTTCAAGTGACAGTTGGGCCAATGCCTCCTCACAGGCAGCAGGCATAGTGTTCGCTGTGTAACTCGTCAGGACAATCAGAAAGGAGTCTCAGATGCATCTTGTCTGTAATCACGCCTGAAGACGTGTGGGCACACTTGATATATCCACATAGAGGCAGTGTCTGTGTTTTTCCATTGAATGTGCAGTAGAAACAGTATTCCAACTTTGTTTGATATGCTGGCAGCCATAATCTTCATGTCAGGCCTCTTCTAACATGGGCTGCTCCTGGGTTACTGGCTGCTGTCCCAGATCTAGTGTTATTTGTGCCTTTCATGACTTTTGATCCCCCCATGCAGGAGGGAACAATGCAGCTGGAAGGATTAGGTCAATTGAAAAATCCAGTACCCTCATCAGGACACGAACCTGTGACCTTTCAGCTTGTAGCATAGTGCCTCAACCAACTACACAATCGCGTGACCCCTATTTGTTGTGTTGGATACAAAATTAGTTTTTGCCAGTTGTTAATATTTCACACTTAGAGTGTTGTTAGAGCCCCCTGATTGAGACCCCTTGTTTAGAGTATGGCTACTGGAGTTTGAAAAAAACTTTGTCAGAGTATTGCATTGGCCCATCTCTAATTTCAGCTCTCCTTAGATTTTTATAACTGGTATTTTTCTTGAACCATTACACTTTATAGCATATGGATAAAGTGTAAGTTCCATTAAATGTAACAATTTTTAATATGAATGAAACCTTCACATGTTTGAGTTGGTATTGACCATCATAAGATGGTGACCAGCACTTGAAAGGAAACACTTTACAAGTATGACATGCATGTGTTCCGTACAACACGTTGCATGCTGCACCATGACCCCACCAAAGATCATGTGAAGCACCATTCATATAGCCTACCATACATGACATACCAACATTAAAGAAATACAGAGGTCACTGGCATCCATGTAACCAAACAGCAAGATTTTAAATTAATTGAAATGGATACTGTTTGCTTTCTAACAGAACTTGTTTTAGCCATATCCTTCTTTTAAACCCTTTTAAGACAACATATTTTATGTGTTTTGTGTGTTATGACAGTAGACAGGGTATGAATTTGTGAATGGATTTATTTGACCATTTATACGCACAACTTGGAACTACAGGTAATTACAATGCTATCTCTGATCTCCATGCTTTACAAGTCACCATAGCACACGCTAAGCATTTCCCACCTGCTGTGTCTTCATCAGCCTTTCCCTGGCAACTGCTTCTAACAGTGGAGGTTCTAACACTTCAAACTCTCAGGTCCTACCTTCACAGCCTCCCATGCACAACTGACTCTTAAACTAACAACTAACTGGGTCACCCCCACACGGACTGAGTAGGAAACACTGTTTAAAACAGTAATTCTGTTGTGTTCATATTTGTTGTCATGGGAATGTGTTTATCTTACCATTGACTAGAAACGGGTTGTATAACACAGCTGTTTATCCACCTGTTGAACAGCAATGGCTGTACATGCTACAGTGTGCATGTTATACTTGCAACGTGTTTCCTTTGAAGTGTTCATCACTTTCTGATGATGACCAATACCAGCTGTAAGGGTTTCATTCATATTAAAATTGTTCATTCATCTGTTTGGATTGTTTACATGTACAAAGGTTGTTCAATAAGTAGGGTTCCTCAGGTTGTACAAGGTAAATGAGAAGTCATTAGAATGTTAAATGTAGCTCACATGTTTCACTAAGTGTCATTACAGTGATGATCTTACCCCATCTTGGCATGAGTTTAGAAACTCCATTGCTGTAGGAATCTGGCTTTTGCATTCGCATATGTTGCCATTTGTTGCGTGTTTACCCCTAACTCTTGCCGAGTGCTACCACCTACAGAAAAACAAAATGCTTCAGTAACAGACACATTACAGAGTAGGGAACCTTGCTTCTTGAACACCTCTCATTGTATGACGAAGTGCTGTTATATTTTGTTCCTCTGCCTGTGGAGCCACTAGACTTCTTCCTTTTCCCATAACTACAGGTGTATAATTTTGTGTGTTTTGTTCTTTGGTTGATGGAGGTACCAGGACTAGAGCAGGCCTACCCAGTCTTTTTTTTTGGGGGGGGGCAGCTTTGGCAGAATTTGGCCTGTATGCACACAACATGAAGTTCAGTACATAAAATGTGGAATGTATAAATTATATATTTACTTCTATGCGGCTGTTTTTCTGGCCATTATATATGATAAATAGTGATAATATGAATATTTTTTTTTCTTTGTGATTTTCCCCAGCCTTTCTTAGCAAATCTAGGACTCCAGGACTGTACCTTAAAGTAGACTGGGATCACTCCTTTCACATCCTTCTGTTGTCTTGGCTATTAGACCTGAATTCCCTTCAATTTACAGGACTAAAGAGACCATTGCAAGAAGAAGGACCTTCAGAAGCTACAGTGTCATCACAACAGGAAAAGAAATTACCTCGTTTTGATCCCAGATCTGTCATTACTGTTGATGCCCGTCTGCAGAATCGTTTCACTTCCAAGTCACAAGGGGACTCCTCCACAGTGGCCAAAGTGACATATGGACCCTCAGTTTGTGCTACTTCTCGGGCTCAGAACTCTGCTAATGGTTCACTGAGAGTTGACAGTTCACGTTATGGCGGAGTAAAGACTTACCATATAGACCAGGCAGCTGCTGGAAGACCACCACAAAGTACAGGACCAGAGGTTGGCGGGCCGTATGGCAAGTTGGTCATAATCGAGCCTGCAAACCAAGCTGTAGGTGCCATGCATACCCTGCAGAAGTCTACAGCAATGTGTCAGGTGCCAATGCGTGTCGTGTATGGCCAGCACGTGTCTTCTGAAGTGTAAGTTCAGTAGTACCATGCTCCATCAGTTCTGGCGAATTGGGGAGTGGTGGCATATTTTGTTGTTAATATTATTATTTGTGTGGAGGAACTGACACTATATGTCTATATTGATACACTGAAAATAGCAACAAGAAGTATGCATATGTTAGGTACTTTGTGTTAGTTTTAGTATATAACATTGATTTTTTGCTTTTACAATTAAAAATATTAAATATTTCCTTATATGCATCCTATGTTCATTTGTTCATGTATACCTCTCTTAACTCCAATAAGCCTTGCCACATTATATCTGTGGCACCTGAAATTAACTGTTGTTTTTGGTTTCTGTGTAGCCCATGGTATCACATGCACATTGCATATGATTTACTAAGAAGAGTACGTACTTGAATACTATGTGATTGATGTGTGCGCTTAGCAGTTGGCAATAGCACATTTCTCTCCAGACCATATGATAAGATAGAGATATGTTGCTGCAGTTGTAATGTCACAAAGGAATGCTCTGAATGTTGTATATGTACAGCAATTCCTGCATTTATCGAAATCCCATGTTTGCTGCAATATTTCTTCTGTTTCCAGCCAGACCTGAATATAAACAGTGTATTATTTCCTTGACTTTCCAGAACTCCTTTGTTCATTTAGCATCACCATATTCAATATTCACATTTCCACTTTACCAGAAATTGTTAACATTAGAGCCTCAGTCTTTAATGTGTGAGATCACATATTGAACACACAGTGAAGTCACACCATTTATGTCATCATTGTTGCCGTGATTCATGACAGTTTCTCTCATTTGTTTCTTGGTCCAGGTTGAAAAGATTGTGCTAATATGTGTATATGCATAGCAGAATATAAGTGACCGATAGTTTTCCCGTCAGCACTTTAGCACTGCTGTTTGTTTGTTGCATTTAGTGCCAATATCACAATAATAAAACATGGGAAATGTTATTCAAGTGCAGTCAGTATTTCATTATGTTTTCCATGGCAGCTGTTGTCAATTCTTCAACCTTTCAGGAGATATCAGTATCCAGTAATCAATTGCCAGGTGTTATGTGATCTATGATATCAAATTAATTCATATCATTTTAATTATCATGTCATTTCTTGATGACTGTGTACAGTTACTACAAGCCTGAGGTCATTTATACTAAACACTGTGAACAGTTATCTCAAGTAGCGTGAGAAGCTGTATAATAGCTCTACAGATTTATGTGACTGTATTCAGTTGAAATGACTATACAGCCACTGTCTTTTATGTTTTGTGATGCTGTGTAATTCAGTAGGTAGGTGCCAGGAACCTGTGCCCTGCACCATCAGGATAGAACAGGACCTCTTCTGACCTGAAGGTGGAAGTTGCAGGTTCCTACCATGTACCAGATTGCATTGTGTCACATGTCAGAGGACCATTCTGTAAGTTTTCAACCATGTAAGCAAGTTAAACCCATTGTGTTAACAGAATGCAAAGAAACTGACTTTCAAAACTATAAAATCTTTAGAATCACAAGAGTTAAGGAACCAAGACCTTCAGTGAATCCGAAACTGGTCGACAAGTCACCAAGTTGCCCAGCTCCTCAACTGCTAGTACTTTCATACATTAAATATTGCATTCAAGTGTTGTTATAAAATTTGGTTAATGTAACATCAAGAAAATTTGGAGTTTTAAATAAGTTTAAGCGTCATGTTCCCAAACCAAACACTGTCCCTCTGTCTGATGGTTGCTGTTTTCACTGCTGTCATGAGAAGTATGAAGGAAATGCCTCGTGAAACAATCCGCGTAAAAGATGACGTTATCATCGGGAAGATGTATGGCTGCCAGGTCCGAGTGTCCTGTTGAAGCTTCTGATCAAGAAATTTGTGATGAAGTTTTAAATTCCTGTTTTACTTCAAGAAATATGGGTTTCTTTGGTTATGTTTTTATCTGAAGTTGAGATTTGTGGTTGTCATGGCAGCACATATTAAGAGCCTTGTGGAATAGGATGCCATGTGGTCATGATACTGATCAACTTTTCATAAGAAGCTGCCTCCAATCTTCAGGGGAGAAGCTATATTAAGATACACCAGATTCCACCAGAATATTGGTAATGGTCTACCAGACTGCATGGCATCACATACCAGAGCACAGCACTGTGTGCATGTACTCAGAGTGGAATATTCCCTGAATTTGAAACACTTAACGGAATGCTGACTTTCCTGTGACAGAGAGCACCATGATTGTTTGTATCCTGAAGTTTGCTGGCAATATTATGGCCACTGATGATGATCGTACCACAGTCAGTAGTGAGTCCTTCAAAGCAGGTGACGCGGTAAGAGCTGCACATAACAGTGTGAGGCAAAAGCACAACTGAAAAGCGACACAAGAGGTTCTTATTCACAACAATACTGTCAGAAGTTCAAGCATTAGGGTGGAACTATGGCTTTTAGGAGGTGAACTGCACACCTAAAATCGGTGTCTTATCCCATCTGACTGTTTCACTCCCTGAGATTGTCTTTAAGCAAAACACGTCCTATTTAAACACCTGTAATGGTAAAATTATCAGAGAGAAGTGTTACATTTGCAGAGCCAGGCTCAACATCAGTAGACTGAGTTAATATCTGAACTCTAGAGGACACTCCTGCTAAAGAGAATTTTTCCAACAGTGAGAAAGTCCATGATCCTTTTATGGGAACCTGCTGGTACTCAGAGCATGACTGGTGCTGGGCCAGTGCTATCATAAGACAACCCAGAACCTAAAAGTAAAGAAAATTTATAGTGAAACATAACCTTCCATGCATACTTACATGCCATTCATTATTTTACTTATGGAATGTCCCATGCATTATCCTGCTCCATTTTCAGTTTGTTGTAGAAGTGCTGTGTTCCTCAGTATGTGAAGTATGCCCTACCAGCCATGGTTCTCTGACCTGACAGTAAGTTTGTAACACATAGTCCGTGTCATAGTGCCCCCAGAGCAGCGTATGGTGCTGTGCCAGCATTGTAATGAGCATCAAACCAGCATGTATAATGCAGAGCTTTCATTCCATACTCACTCATGTAGCTGAGCCATTCTGGAGGAGCCGCCAATTCTGCAGCTACTCAAGAATTTCCCAGCATTTTACGGAACCCGAAGGTTCATTACCATGTTCACAAGAGCCCTCCACTGGTCCCTATCCTGCGCCAGATCAATCCAATCTGTACCATCCCATCCTATCTCTCTAAGATCAATTTTAATATTCACCCACCTACGCCATGGTCTTCCCAGTGGTCTCTTTCCTACTGGCTTTCCCACCAATATCCTATATTCCTCGTCTCCGCCATTTGTGCTACATGCCCTGTCCACCTCATCCTCCTTGACTTGATCTTTCTAATTATACTTGGAGAAGAGTTAAAGTTATGAAGCTTCTCATTATGCAGTTTTCTCCAACCTGTCACTTCATCTTTCTTCGGTCCAAATATTCTCCTCAACACCCTGATCTCAAACACCCTCAGTCTGTGTTCCTCCCTTAATGTGAGAGACCAAGTTTCACACCCATGCAGAACCACAGGCAAAATTATAGTTTTGTATATTTTAATTGTAATGTTTTTGGACAGCAGACGAAATGACAAAAGGTTCTGGACTGAATGGTAGCAAGCATTACCCGAGTTCAGTCTCTTAATTTCCTCCTGAATGAACATCTGTTTCCTGTCTTTATGTCATGATTTTGCCCTGCATTTTGGTGATGAGACAGCAACATATACTTAGTTTTCTCAGTGTTTACTTCTAGACCAACCTTCCTACTTGCATCAAATAAAGTTTGTGTTTTTTCCTTTATGGTATCTATATTATAAACCATTAGAATCACATCATCGGCATAGGCCAACAGTTGATGTGTCCTGTTTAATTTCAGTCCCACCTGGTTTCCCTGGACCTTCCTAGTGGCATATTCTGAAGCAAATTTGAAAAGGAGTGTCAATAAAGCATCTCCATGTTTTAGACCATTCTGGATAGGAAATGTTTACCTACACAGACTTTACTGTATGTTTCGTTTAAACACATTTTAATCAACTTAACTAATTTCATGGGTATCCCAAACTCTTATCAGAATATTGTACAATACTTCCCTCCTAATAGAATCATAGGCTTTCTTGAAATCTATGAATAACTGATGTACTGTCTCATCATACTCCCATTTTTTCTCCAATATCTGACGAATGCAAAAGATCTGATCTGTAGTTGATCTGTTACGTTGAAACCCACACTGATGATCCCCAATAATTTCATTTATATATGGACTTAACCTTGACTGAAGAATATTGGATAAAATTTTGTATGAATTTGATAGCAGTGATATCCCCTGGTAATTACTAGTCAGTTTTATCACCCTTCTTGTGAACTGTTACAATAATAGACTCCTTCCACTGATCAGGCAATTTTTCCTTATTCCAAATAGAATTAATTAGCTTATAGATCTTAGAACATAATATTTTACCCCCTGCTTGAACAAGTTCTTCCGGAATTTGATCATTACCTTGCAATTTATACCTTTTCCATTTTGCAGTAGCAATTTCAACCTCAAAAAAGAACTAGGATCAGGTGCTAACAGTTCAGATGCATGTATTTCTATCTGGCTAATATCACATGTACATATACATTCAATAACTGAGAGAAGTAGTTCTTCCACCCATTCAAAATGTTGTGGGAATCTGCAAGCAGATCACCATTCTCATCCTTCACTAAGTTACTTCTATGTTGGTGTACCTTTTAAAGTAATTTATTCCTCTATACAGGTCTCTAATGTTTTTGTTCTTACTGTTCATTGCAAGCTCATCAATTGTGTCTTTCAGATATTGGCCCTGTTTATTCCTGAAATGCCTGTGCTTGTTTCATGTTTCAGATTATTCCTGTTTAACTTTCTTGGATCTTGTAACCATTGCAATTTGGCCTGCTTTCTTTGATCTAATAATTTTGACCATCCTTCATTGAACCATGGCTCATGCTTCTTTGGTTCATAATAACCTAGCGCCTCTATGGCAGACATTTTTATATTCTCTCTGCTATGGCATCTGCTCAAGAAGGGCTCAGCTCCATGGGTGAGTGATCAATAGATCAGACTATATAGTGAGTCTGAGAAGTTTGTCTAAAATTGCTTTGTTATGAAGTGGTAAAATAATACAAAATCAATATCAAATATAATAGGTTGGGAATGATATTGTGGCATGTAGACTGGTTGCTAAGTAACGGCTCTTAAATCACATGGCAGTGTCAGGCTAACAGTGAGCACATTACTACTCATCATTTTACTCATCTATCTAAGAAATGGACAAGCTGTCTGGGCCCATAAATGCTATAACAATCTATGTAAGGTAATTTGCTTTTGTAATGTTGAAAGCCTGCTGAAAATGGCCAAGCTAGGTAGAAACATATAAGCATTGTAATGTAAAAATCGGTTACACTGGATGGAACTTTAAATGGACAAGAAGTGTGATGGTGAATAATGTCCAGTGTTAAGAAAATTTAGTTTCTTAGACTGAGAGGTATTGCTTCTTGAAGTTCAATTTCTGTGTGTTTGCTGTGATATTTACAAGGAATGCAACCATATCCCAGGCAAACAGTGGGTACTTCTGCTTGTTAATTATACATTCTGTGCACACATTCCTGTTTTCAAGTTGTTTGGTACATGTATAAATTCTGATGAAGGTAATGGGAAAGTGTGCCTTGGAGGTGAAGCTCAGTGCACATGGACTTCAGCAGTGGATATGAGTGAGCAGACAGCTTTATCACATCAGTCCCTGCTCAGTAGGCCATTGGCTCCAGAGGCATTTTGAATCCTGCAGTGGAGAAAACGATCCTGACATCAGTCCTACCACTGTGCTGACATACATGCATGATGGGGTAGTTCAGAAAGGGATGGATGATGTTTCCACAGTGGTGAAGACACATTGCCATGTGACAGGTGCAACTGTGTGTGTGCACTCTCTGAGCTGGGCACATTCTCACTAAAGTGAGGCCATGGAAAGAAGTTTGTTGGATCAACAGTTCCCTTCAGATGAACTTAACTTGGTTCATCCTGGTCTGTCACACTAGTAATATATTCATCTTCCATTAAGGAGAAAAAGTGTAATGACACAAACCAGATTGGTTCTAGATCAAAACAAATATTGAATATTACTTTGTAAACAGACTTAATTGTAATAATTTGTAAACATTTTAATAAATCAATTTACACCTTAGTATTTGTTAAAAGATATAACGTTTATATTTATGACATGTAATAGTAATTTCCGTTTGTGCTGAAGATGGTCGTTTTGACCGAAACATGTAAAGGATGAAAAATTTAAAACACAACTTTTATCAATCACACTGGATGATGGTTAAAAATCTTATATACCCTTCAGTTGTTATGGTGCCCCCTCTAGTACACTTCTTTGTATTCCCATCCACTTGTCTAGCCATTCTGTTCACGTGCATGTCAGTAGTGACAAGCACTGGGGGTGTACGTGCCAGAGGAGGCTAGTGAATCTTGTACACTAGCATCTCCATCCTTGGGGCTGCTTTTTGCAGCCTCAGTGTGATAGACTTAACCAGTTTTTTAATAACTGTCTGTATACTGATCATTGCAGTCAAGTAGATATAGTAACTCCTACACTGTGTGTGGGAGTTACTGACAAGATTCAGATATTAACCCACATACCAGCTGAACTGGAGTTTTTTATTGCTTTCCTCAGTCCCTCCAGACAGATTTCATGGTATCTCCTCAAAATAGTGCATTACCACTTCCTTCCAGTTGTTTTATACAATTTGTTATTCAAGAATTGCCCTATCATTCTACACTGTATAGTCTGAGCTACCCCCAGCATTGTTAAATAAGCCATAAATAAATAAATTCTAATTCTCTCATTAAATAGGAAGTTCTGTTGTATGAACTTGTAGCAGCATAACCTTGTAACTGGCATAGATAGACACACATCACTGACAACAGAGTAACTCCATCAAGTAGGGTCCTTGAGAAACGTAACAGTTTGTCACCTGGTCAAGAAATCCCCCCCACCCTTTATGGGGCTGTTAAAATATTGTAATATTTTTTAGTGTGTAGAGACATTCTGAGCTCATTTGAAACATTGCAGTTCCTTCACCCTGCCAAGTGTGATTTGTGTTTAAGAAGAGAGATTTCATCTGCTGCTGTAATACTGTGTCCAGTTTAAAGGTTATTCATACATCTGAGCTCTGATTAATATGCTCATTGGCTTAATAATCTGTGAAAGATGCTTCATCAAAGTTGCAGTCCTCAGGGTTTCCGTAACTAAGCTTCCAGAAGTATTGTGGGTAAGGGCTTCTGCCACTGCACCCATTGTTTAAATTGTATTGTACGTACACCTCTTCTTTATGGATCAAAAGATGGCGTGTTTGTCATCTTTCTTGGCAGGTCATGCGACTTATATGTGAATGGGGCGTTACTGGTGTCTTCGCATGAGAAAAACAGGAAAGTTGCAGGCCGTGTCGCAGCTGAGGAGGGATTACGGAAACTGAAGGAAACTTGCTACACTATCAAGGTACATCTCTTCATCTGGTCTCCTAGCAATGGAACATCTCCATCTTCTGTAAGCTTTCCTTTCCTTGGTAACCTTTTCTTGTTATCGTTATCTTAGGCATCGTCCTTTTAGTTTCATATTCACGCTATGCCTGAGGTACATCTTTTATTAGTTATGGCATCAAATCATGATCTTACAGTATTCTAACCCTTGAAACGTGATCATTGTACCTAAGTACAATTCGAGGTTCATGTGGCAGTAAACACCGTCCAGCCTGATCAGTTCCAGCAGAACTCACAGCCTTAGTCATGACAGTAATGTGATGAAGCAAACAGAGAACAGAGCGTACTCTTTTACCCTGACAATGGTGACAGCAGGTTTGTCTGACACAAACTGTAACAGTCTGTGAGGGTGCAGTGTGTCACTTTCCAAAAGGAACGGAATATTCGTGATATTCTGTTGCTGTTTCAGTCAAATGTTCTAACACAGGAGTAGCTCCTAGTTCATCATAGTTCTGTATATACTTCAAGCACAAAATGGGCAAATGGGCTTAACTGGTGACATTTCTGACTTTTATTTAGGGGTTACTCAGTTGGAATTAGTTCAGGGACACTGACTGTGGTTTTCCTCAGTCCCTCCAGGTAAATGTCAAATTTAAATGTCAAATTAGGCCATGACAGCCCCTTCCATGTCCTTTCTTGTTCGTAATTCACTAGGATAGTAAATTCTATTATTCAGCACTGCATAGGTTGAGGTACTGATGGCATCACTAAGTAAAGCAGCGATAAATAAACAGTAGGGAACAGCCTGTTGAAATCAGTGGTAAACTTAAAATATTACTACAGTGCTATCTGACTGCAGAAGAAGCCAATCCTTGCTAGGAACAAGACTGCTGGCTAGTTGATGACCTACTATATAACTTACATTCTTGCAACACTGAAGTCTGTTGTAAGGTAACCTGAAATTGAGTAATTTCAGAGCTTTCACTCTATTGCAAAACTTTTTTATATATGGGGGGGGAACAAATATTGAATGGTAAATAAAGGTTTCTGAATACACAGTACATATGAGATGATAAGATAGGGTTCCCAGACTGTGGTCTGTGAACCTTATCCCTAGTATCTCTGGCTTGGTCTCTGTGCCCCTGTTCCCATTTTTTAAATTGTTATTCTAAAATTCTGTGTCATGCAGAAGTTTTCCCCCTTCTTCTCAGACATGACTTATTTTATGCTGGCATGTCCTATTTATAATGCTTTCATCACAATTCAGAAGAACATGGGCTCTGCCTGGCCCCCCCACAAGCACCCATGAACTTCAGTCATGTCTGTAACATCTTACCATACAGTGTGTGGCTGTTAAGTAAAGGGACTGCATATGCAGTTTTCCACCATCTGCAAACAGAATGCATGGTTGTTAATCTTGTTGGAGCGCATTTCAGTATATTCACATAGTGTTAAGCAGTGAGATATGAATGAATGTTTTCGTCATATGTCAGAAACATGCCAGACAGAAATCTGAAATCTCCATAAACATCTGTCAGGCTGTATGGCATTGCAAACCAGAAGGTGTTACTGTTGCCCATGACTTCGACAAATAATCCTCTGAGCCATCTTGCAGTATGGGAGTTGGGATAGCTTGGTTGCTATTGTGACAGGCTACGGGCTGGATTCCCAGGAGGACAAAATTTTTCTCCTCTTGACACCGTCGAGACTGGCTCTGGGGTGTAATGGTTACCAGGGATAAAGCGACCAGGGCATGAAGCTGACCATTAGCCTCCATCTAGTGCCAAAGTCAAGAATGGTGGAGCCATACCTCAACTCCCCCATATGTCTTCATGGCATAATGTTTAATTAATTAAGCACAGGGACAACTTTATGTTTCCTTTTACCATTTTTACCTCAGCTGTTGACTTGGTCCCCAGCCACCCAGAGGTACCACTACCACAGTGTGGAAGGAGGCAAGACAGCAGTCAGTGTACCCTGTAAGTCTGAGCCAACTGTGAAAGCACAAATTCATCAGAATGACAGGAACAGTGCACTCTCAGGGTGGCTTTAAAAGATGCATATTAATTGCAGGTGTACTGCAAATCAGGCTTATGTAGCAGCTACATGGCTGAGCAGGAGGTTAGACATTGCTTTTGATAGGTTATGTTTATATAGCCATGTTTTCAAAATCAGTGCATTTTACACAGATATTATATACATTGTAGAAAATAGTGGTGGGTGTTTCAGATGACTGTCTTCAGGTAGACAGAAGGCATGACAGTGAATGTTGTTGTACCTTCACCTTCCTCCAGGCAGACAGTTTCACGAGGGGCCACCATCACATTTCTCAAGGCATGTCACAAAAGTTCTTTTTGCAACATTACCTGGAAGATTGATTGGCAGGGGTGGTTCAGGTCTTTGGCCACTTAGGGGCCCTGATGTGACACTGCTTGATTTTTCTTTTGGGGCTGTGTGAAGAATTGCATTTGTGTGGCCAAAATTAGATGCCTGAATGATTTGAAAGCAATAACATGAGAGGCTGCTGAGCAGGTAACAAGAGACATGCTACGGTGCTTAAGGCAAGAAGTGGAATATCATTTGGATGTATGCAGGGTCATGAATGGTTGACATGTGGAAACTTCGTAATTATGCTCAAAGCTATTTGAAGCATACTTTCAGATGAAATATTAATTTCTTGAATGTGTCTCTCATTTTTTAAAATATTGCATCTCAGAACCACACCATTATTTTTCAGGCATACTGTATTTGTGTATTTATTCCAGACACCTCTCTCTCTCTCTCACTCATATATTTACCAGAAATGAGCTAGGACTTAAAAGAAGATAAAATAGCACACACACACACACAGAAGTGCTCATGTATTAACAACTGTTGTACAATGAATTGCTTCAGAATCCGTCAAGTGGTTCAACAGACATACTTAAATGTTTGTTTATAACATGGCAGCAGTTATATATGTGAAATTCTGTCAGAATCTGTGAACACGCTGCAGGGTCACCCATATTTTTTTTTATTGCTAGTGGGGTGGGACTAGTCCCTTGTACTCTGGCCACTTCTGGCCTCTTGTACCTGCCCCAGATGATGGGTGAGGGTGTTTGTGGAGCAATTGGTGGAATGAAGATTGGCAGGGGAAACCGAAGTACTCGGAGAAAACTTTGTCCACCACAAATCCCACTTGACCGGACCCGAGGTTCACCCATAAGTAAAGTGGTGGTTTAGATAATCCATGCAAATCTAAGTCAGAAATGTTGATGCTGGTTCACAGTACTGAATTTGATCAGAACAGCAGGAGGTTCCTCGTTGTCCTTGTTCTCAGACCCTTCAAATTCTTAAAGTAAAAAAACTAAATTTCGCAATCATATGAAACAGCCCCCTGTCTCCTTCAACATTTCTGCTATATGTTATTATATTTTAGCATCCGTTGCATTGAGGCGTTATCCTTATTATCAAAGTACACATCAGTAATGTAACAATATAAAGGACATCAAGAATATGTCATTCACTAAAAATGTATTTTTATACTTTATGATGTTAAAATCATTAAAATGTCAATAGGACACTGAAAGTATATTTTATACATTAAAAGTGATATCAGACTTTTCCCTCAATGTCTCCAGTTTTACATACTTTTTTATAGTTTATGACATGTTTCGTACTAGTGACACCTACACAAGAGAAATTATGACACACAAAAGCTATGATAGCCACAAAAGAGTGCAACGACAGCATTCTAATCATGAGATAGAACTAAACATTAAAGTGCATCGTAGCATGGTGGACAAGTGAGAACAGTGCAATGGTCTTCCCAAAGACAAAAAGAAAAATCACCTGATGATGGCCCATGTGCAGCTGAAACATGTTGTAAGCTATAAAAAAATATGTGAAACTAGAGACATTATAGAAAAAGTTTGATAATCACTTTTGATGTATAAAATATACTTTTAATGTCCTATTAACATTTTAATGATTTTAACATTATAAACTATTAAAATATATTTTTAATGAGTGACATATTCTTGATGTCTTTTATATTGTTGCATTATTGACGTGTACTTTGATCATAAGGATAATGCTATATGTTAGTCGCCTAGCAACCAGGCCTTTCTCCATCTGCCACTCTCTTCCCCAAGGTTATTCTTAATTTTGTCCAATGCTTTTCCTACCTTCCATATGGCCTCTGTGCTAACCTGTTGTTTGCATCTTGATCATGGTGTTCCTGTTCAGAGTTTTCTTTTATTTCTGTGTTCAAAACCGCCCTAGTGATTGTAGCTTTGTTGTTATTAATTTGTCTTCTCTCTAATTCCTTTGTTTTTTATTCTGTGTCTTAGGTTTTCCCTGCATCAGTTCTATATGTTTATATTGTCATGTTCTTCGTGCGGCAGAACTATTGTGAGTGAGTGTCCCATTGCATTGAGTAATTAGTTCATTATTATATTTTGGTCTTCTTTTATGTTCTGATGGCTTTGTGGTTTCCCTGTGCTCACATTACATTAACCTGTTTACACTGTTTGTAGAGATGTTTCAGCTACACACAGCCATCATCAAGTAAATCTGTAATATGCTGTAATCTGGTGCACTGTTGTTCTCTTGTTGAATGAAACATTAATTGAGATTGAAACGGGAATTAATAACTAAAAATCAAAATTGATTGTTAAAATTCTAGTTTTTATCACTTGAACATTGAATAAATTGTTGCATCTTGCCATGTCTGGGTCTCAGGTGCAGCTGTGTTGCTTTGTGTTTGTTGCATGTGTAGCATTTGCGGTTGGCAAGTGAAGACTTCCATGATCATCATGTTGCTCCTCTGTGCCGAGTAGTAGGACAGCATTCTCACACGTGTATCATTATGCTTCCAGATGAAACTGAAGTTCCTGTCAGACACAACCATAGACAAATCTCTGGGTGTTACTTGCAATTCTGATACAGAATATGCCGATGTCAGTGTCCCTGTGTCAGACAACAATGTTGGCAGCAGGTTGCTGCGGTTAATGGGATGGACTGGTGGAGGACTCGGGAAAGATGCACAGGGAATCGAGGAGCCTGTGAAGTAAGGGTTCAGCAATGTATGTGTTCATCTATGTTTTATTACGAGCTGGGTAGCTCGGTCCATGTAAGTGACTAGTCTATGAGCTGAACCGCCAGTGAGATGGTAATCCACCTTGGGAGTTCGCAAGGGGCTCAGTGTTAAAAGCTAATCAGCATGCTATGATATGCTGCACAGGACCTGGGGCTTGAATGAATTGGAATGACTTAAATCGACATGAGATTTGGAATTGGAAAATAAGCAGTCTGTCATATTTACCTGCACCATTTACAAGCCGCTCCCATTTGACAATAAATTTTAAAAAATGAAATTAAGAACAATAGTTTTACCATTGATATAATTTTGGCTGATGCGTACTCGTAGCATAAAATGTGAGTGAGGTTAAATGAATTGTGGCAACATGGTACAGGAAAGCTTGATTGCGTTTTCTGTGAGGCTATGAGGTGGTGAGATAAAAGGAATGCACACAGAATTTTGGTAAGAAAATCTTTTTGGAAATATCTACATGGAAAACCAAGAAGGAGATGGGAAGTTAACATTAAGATGTGTGATAGGGAGATAAGATGTTAGGATGGGAGATAGCTGTTGCATTGGCAATGTTTGGTGTTAACAGTACTGAATCACTCCGTGATTTTAGTCCGCAAGTGAACTATACCGACCGAGCAACCGCCGCTTGTCAGCAAAGTTCAGTGCCAACTTTTGCGGATAGAGGGTGTCATGTGGTCAGCACAACAAATCCCCACGGCCATTAATTTCGGTTTTCTAGACCGGAGCCACTATTTCCTTGAAATAGCACCTCAATTATCATCACGAGGCTGAGTGGACCCCATTCCAGACCCACTACTTCTCAGAAAAATTCTGGTAGCGCCGGGAATCGAACCCAGACCTCTGGATCTGTAACCAAGCATGCTGACCACTAGACCTCTGCTACCATAGAGGTGGTTAATTAAAGATTCAGTGAGAAATATTATTCTGCTCATATTGTGAAGGTAACAGGTGCCCTTTTATTTCTTGATCTTGCTACTGGAAAAACAATTGCTCATTGGTAACACCATAATGAGTCTTTTTATCTGGGGGCACGTGGTAGCATAGTTGGTTGGGTCACTATGTTACAAGCCAGAAGGTTGCAGGTTTGAATCCCAATGAGGTGGGTTGAGGCACAATGCTACAAGCCTGAAGGTCACAGGTTTGAGTCCTGAAGAGGTTGATTTTTTCAATTTACCTAATCCTTCCAGCTGTGTTATAGCCCTGGGGTTGACTCAGTCTGTAACAGAAATGAGTACCAGGAATCTTCCTGGGATGTAAAGGGCAACCGATGCATAAAGCTGACAACCTCACTGCCATCTGTGAGCCGATTGTATAGAAAATGTGGGAGCCTCAATGTCTCACCACCCTATGTCTTTAAGGCCCCGTTACAGGGGTAGCTATGTGTGTTATGGTTTGCCCCTCTGGTCTGCTTTGATTCATAACAATTGTATAGTAACATATACAAAAACTGAGTTTTTTATTTAATTCAGATATGCTGTTTCTGAACCTAGACACAGAATTTTGCATCAGGTTACAGTTTTGTATATTGAATTTTTATCCCGAAAAGATCATTATTGGAAATTGCATAGTAAGTGGCAGGTACATTTATGCCTTGTATGCAAGATAAAGTAAGTGAATGAAGAGATGACTGTGCATCTTAACTGTGGTGTTTGCAACCACTTTATTTTATACATGTTATTGAAGAAAGTGAAAATTTGTCATGCTTTATAAGTAATTCACATCACAGCACCACAATAATGTTAATGTAGGGCCCATCTGGATGCTATGGAGAAGTAAAACATCTTCTCCCCACTGGGAACTGAACCCTAGCTGTCCAGTCCGTAGCCATTGCTATCCCAGCTCAAGTTCTAATGTAATATTATGTCTTTGCAGAACTTCCACATTTGAAATGTCTCACCATTCAGTGCATAATGTGTGCTCTTGTTATACCCTCACAGGATACAAGAACACATCAATAGAGCTGGCTTGGGATTGTCACAGCCAAAGTCCAATAGTTCAGAAGATCGTCAGTTCAGAGCAAAAGTTCAGCGCTTGATACAAGACTATGCAAATGGCAATTCACAGTATGATCTTGTATTCTCTTCAGACTTCACCATCGAAGAGAGGAAGATGATGCATGGGTAAGTTCAATGAAATTCTTAACCACATAGAGATCAGGTCACCACAGTGAACAGACGCAAGCTTCACACCGTATTCCCCTCCAGTAAAATTCACTTTCATTTTTTTTGGGGGGGGGGGAATTTTATGTTGTTAATTTTGTGTAAACATTTGCACTGAAGTTTCATTATGATTACTGTTCTCACAAGTTAGAATGACTATAGATGGGGTTGTGGATTGGATATTGGATTTATTGACCCATTATACACTCACCTTGTAATTACACTTAATTATAAAGTCATCACTGATTTCCACACTTCACAAATCATGTTAAGTCTGCAATGCCGTCACTATTCATTTCCTGGTAGTGGCTTCTAACTCACAGCGGCTATTCCTCTGCTTCCAGGCTCAAGTCCTCTCTGAATGGTGGCTCCCTTCCAGCTGCCTCTTTTCTTCACAGATTCCCATGCAGAACTGCCTCAGTTGCCCCAGTTGTCTTCCTTATAACTCTTTGGTACAATTTGAGTAGAAAACACTGTTTCCAGCAGTACCTCTCTATGGTTGCATGCTTATCCATTGCCGTGGTAATGTGTTTACTGAGCCATTGCCTAGAAACGGATGTTCTTTCAGAACCATTTGCTAGCAGTGGCTGTTTCTCTGGCTCAATACCATGTAGTTTGGTGGATAGGTTCATTCATTTCAGGAGGAACCACTGTCTCTCCATCCCTAGGGTAGAAGAGTGAGAAATCTTGGTGCCTTTACACCAGACTACATGGTGTCACATCCCAGAAGACTTAATCTTAATATTCACCACTCTGAGAATGTCATACCTCATGTGTGTTCAGATTTATAACTTCTCTTTGTGTGTCGTACATTCTGGACATAAAAATGTTTATTTCAGATTTCAGTCAACACAACAATTTATAAATAATATACAGGTGACCTGTTTACATGAAAGTTGTATATCAGAGGCACAGCATGTTTCAACCCCTGGGTCATCATCAGGTGCTGATTCATCTCAGGTGCTGAACTTACACCTATTATGAAGAGCCAGGATAGTGCAGTTGGTATAGTGACTGGCTACAGGCTGGACAACCAAGGGGTTAGAGTTCAAGTCCCAGTAGGGTCAAGAATTTTCACTTCTCCAACTTGTCTAGGCCTACTCTGGGGCCCACCTAGCCTCCTATTCAGTGGGTACCAGGAGCTCTTTCCCTGGGGGTAAAGCAGCCCGCGCATGAAGCTGACCACTTAGTTAGTTATTAGTTAGTTATTGGAGAGGGTGGGTTTCCCCATGCACTTAAACCTGTATTGGTCCATTATGCTTCCCTCTATGATAGTCTACCAATCTCTATATCCTACCGGTACTGGTGCTTACCATCAGTCCCGCCCAGCCAGCGAGACCGGCTCTACTAGCTGAGAGGTATCTATAATGCTTCCCCCATCTACCAGAGGTGTTAGAGACTGCTGTTGGGCGGGAAACGTCCATAATTTGGCTCAGTGACCTCCTTTGGAGAGATGAGGTTCTTTTACGTGCCGTAAAGCTACGACACGGGACCCACGGCTTAAAGTCCCTCCCGGAGGACTTGTTCCCTGAATTTTTCCGCCCTTAAAAATTCGACAACCTCCGCCGGGAATTTGAACCCGTGTACCACGAGTCATGAGGTGGGAACGTTACCTCTAGACTACAGAGGCTGCTAAGCTGACCACTTATCTCCAACTAGTGCTGTGGTCAAGAAAACGTGGGTCTATACATCCAGTCCTCCATATGTCTTCATGACATACAGCTTTACCTTTTTACCTTTACTTATACAGTGGAACCTCGCTTAACGATCACCTCTCATAATGAGTAATTCACATAACGAACAAAACAAATTGTAAAAAAAAATGACTCGCTTAACGAGCGATGTTTAGCATAACAAGTGACAAGAGGGGAAGTCCCGGATTGTGCGCATGCTACATGAGTCTGTGTTCAGCACTTGTTCCGCTAGCATCTTAGTGTCGCTTGTGGTCACACATTTTCCAAACTTGTGTTCAGACGTATTATTTGTTATTTTCTTTTGTGCAAAGTTTAATAACCCTTGCAGAACGAGGTGTGAGCATGGCTGATCTAGCATGCACATACAATCGGTCTACACAACGATTTGCACGATTTGGAGTTGCATAGTGTTTCACAGAAAGAAGTTGTGGAGGAGAGTTTGTCAGAGGAGGAGGAGGAGGAGGTAACAGCAAAGCAACAACCTTCTGGTGCAATAAGAGAAATGCTGAAAGCATGGGAAACTGTTGCATCGTACATTGAGAAGCATCACCTTAATAAGGCAGTGGCTATGCGCGCTACAGATTTATTTAATGATAATGCTGTGTCGCATTTTCACCAAATTTTGAAGCATCAGAAAAAACGAATGTCTCTAGACAGCTTTCTAGTAAAAAAGAATTAGATATGTATCATAAATAATAAACTAATTATTTCAACTTTTTTTTTTTTTTTTTTCTGCAAATTGAATTTGCATTCCAGGTTGATTCATTCCACATAGAAGAAAAGATGAAGATGATTCACACTCCTTAACAATGTATATATAATCATCTTTGAATAGATGTTATACATAAAATTTTTTTAGTATTTTTTCGGCATGGAGTGCATTATCGTATTTTACATTAATTTATATGTGAAAAATTGTTTCTCTTAACAAGTATTTCACATTACGAGTAAGATTCTGGAACGAATTATGCTCGTTAAGCGAGGTTCCACTGTACCTAATATGGATCCATATTGTAGGGTTGTTCTTTGTTTTGATATTGAACTTGTTACAANCTTTTTTTTTTTTTGTTTTCTGCAAATTGAATTTGCATTCCAGGTTGATTCATTCCACATAGAAGAAAAGATGAAGATGATTCACACTCCTTAACAATGTATATATAATCATCTTTGAATAGATGTTATACATAAAATTTTTTTAGTATTTTTTCGGCATGGAGTGCATTATCGTATTTTACATTAATTTATATGTGAAAAATTGTTTCTCTTAACAAGTATTTCACATTACGAGTAAGATTCTGGAACGAATTATGCTCGTTAAGCGAGGTTCCACTGTACCTAATATGGATCCATATTGTAGGGTTGTTCTTTGTTTTGATATTGAACTTGTTACAAGGTCCTCAAAGTTAAAATTAAAATTAGTTGATTAAAACTATTATTGTCAATTATTAAAATCAAATTTAAGATGATATATATAAGTATATTATTCCTCGGATATACTGATCATGTATTCTGGTGCTTCTTAGGGTGTGTGGAAAATTCTGGACAATTATACATGTGTAGTACACTTCATTCCAGCTTTGTATAAAACAGATTGGTTTCCTTCCTGTTCCTCTATCTAAAATGCATGATGGCACTAACAGAACAATGTTATTCTGCTGTGTAATTGGGACAGTAAGGAAGCCTAGTTCCCTGTGATTCTTGCTTCAGCATTGCTACAAGGCTGAAGCTGAAGACCAGAAGTTATGGAAAAAATATGAACAGGCACTTGGTGGTCTCTAAGAAACGGGATATGTGGCAGGCGTTGGAGCAACTGCTGAGAAGCGGTGGTTCCACCGAGAGGTATGATCTTGTGAAGCCCACAGGGCCAGCACCGCAGCAAGAAGCATGGTGAGTTACCATAGGCTGTACAATACATGGTCATGCAACATGAGTGCAAACATATATAAATGCTGCACTATAACTTTGGTATATTTCCTCCTGGGTTGGTAACTTAATTATTGGTGGCAAAAGGATTCATAACAAAACAGCATTTCTGCATCTTTTGAAGTCTTGAATATAATTTTTTATTGAAATAAGGTATTATAAATTTTGACGTTTCATGATTCAGTTTCAACAAACTCATTCAACAATCACACTCTGCGGCTTATTAACTTCTGTACGTGGAACAAGGAAGAATTTTAAGCCACAGTGCAGAGAGTGTAGACAAGTGCAGTGGACCCAAGTGACAGTAGGTAACCCCCCACTGCCTGAAGACAGGAGCAGATGCACATTCCAGAACATGTACAGGTGTTCAGAATATCAAATGATGGGCAGAGCTCAGAAAACTATTCGTTCTGAGTCTAAAATTAATTCCAGTAACTTCTGAGAAAACTTGTGAAGTTAATCCAAAAACCTGCAGGCATAGTTAGCTAGATGCAGGAGCCCAATGGTAAAGTTACTGATGATTACCAATTTATGCCATATTAACTTTTATCATGGATAATACCAATTTGAATATACAGAAACGTAATGTTTGTATTAATATACCATCATCAGAAACTTCTAGATCTTAGGAAAATTATTGGTCCTTATTCTGAGAACTAGTTGTAACCATCAGACACTCTCTGTGTGAAATGTTGAGTTCCTTGATATTAGAGCAGGTGACATATGTCACAAGCATTGCCCACTGAAGAGTCTGCTATTGCTAAGTTGCTGTATATAATGCTAAGGGATAATTAGTGTGATATTGTTCTGCATGTGGATCTGTAACCACACCGTTGAAATCCCCCCCCCCTTTTTTTCAGTAGCTGATATAGTTGATAATAAGAATTTATGAAGAAACAAAGGTTTAAGACACACTGTCAGAACAAGGAATAGATGATGAGCAGATAGACCAAACTTGCATGAACAAGGACATCTGCTAGTCCTTGCATCCAAGCATCTGGTGTTATTTTCCAAAAGGGCAGAAATGATACTTCAAGAAAACCCACTGACTTTCTTTAGAAATTGAGAATTTGACTTACAGTGGCAAGCCACTTTGAGAATTTGAGAACTGACAGTTTCTACCAGCCGTAAGTCAAAAGTGGGAGTGCCAGGAGCTCATTAGCGACCCCCATAAATTGCATCGCTGTCAATTTCGCCATTTGGTCTTTTAGGGCGAAATTCCCTTTAAAAACAATCTGTCATTGGCCGGAACCAAAATTAAGCCAACTCCTCTTATTTGAGTCAGCCTATCAGGGAAATTAGGAAGAGAGGAGAATAGGCAGATACAACTCAGTTAGGACCTCTGGCTCGGCAGAGAGTTCAGTCTAAGATTTTTAGTCATCTATCAACTTTAGAACTTGGTGGAGGCAAACCCCGCATCACATGTGCTAAATGGTAATTCTGAGTACAAAATTTTGCTCATAACGACTCATAAAGAGATTTAGCTTAATCCATAAGTGGACAGTTATAAGTTGAGCTTACTGAGTGCAATTTGTGCAAGTGTAACACCAGCTGTTTGTAAGCCAAAACTAAATCAGATTGTGTGAATTTATACAGCCGAGTGCCTTTAAGAAGAACAATAAACTGTTGTAGTGGTACAGTGAATTGTGTTGGTTAGAGGTTTCACCCTCACTTGTCTGAGCCTGACCTGTATCCAACCTGAAGAGAGCCTCATCTCCACTAGCTAGTCAAACCCATTGCCAGCTTTCACCTACTCACGCCTTCCCCCCTTTACAATGAATCGTAAACAGTCTCTAGCTGTTTGCTGGCGCCCATACCATCAGGTCCCATCCTGAAATTCAAACCCCCAATAATCTCAATGGAAGGAAGAAGCGGTGGAGCCGGGTCAAGCCGAAACCAGCCACGACCTAGCAACTTCAGCAGCGGTAACACCAGGTAGGGCAGCGTCAAAGTGGTCATCAGAGCAAAGGGCCGATTGTCATCGACTCCCACTCCCTGCACTACTATTCAGACGGAGCTACAGGTGGAAGGGCAAAAAAGGGGGCGGTTATAAGTGACGCCAAACGTGGAAGCAAACAGTTACAGATCATTGTGTTTCAGTCTCAGGTAGGAAGTGGACATAGCTACACACTAAGCATTATACATCCTACAAGACTGGTTCACACTTTATTTCTTTCTGGCTTAAGCACCAACATCTCATGCCTGCAATATTATATTTCAGCATCCTGTTACACACACAATATATATGGATAAATACCGTCTTAAGTGCAACAAATTTTATTGTAGTTTTTACTTCTTTTCCTCCTCCACACTACATGTTTCGGCCCTAAATGGCCATCATCAGGTGTGTATCACTCACGTAGCTGTTACNCAGGAAAAGAGGTAAAAACTACAATAAAATTTGTTGCACTTAAGACGGTATTTATCCATATATCTCATGCCTGATTAACATTCTCATGCCAATACACTTGAACACTGTGCAGCATCTGCGTTCCCTGAGGCTGTGAGTGAAGCAAAAGAAAGAGATCTTTCTGTTATGCAGAGGCTCACAGTATCACCAAGAGACTGAGATGCAAGTCTAGACCTGAATAATATGGAGAGTCTGAACAGTGACTGTGCACATGTTGAACTCTTTAAATAAGTCCTGACAGTTTAATCTAAAAGTTAGTCATGTATTCTTCCATATTGTAAAATAATAGGCTGAAAGTTGGGGATCTCAAGTGGGGGGGCAGGAGATGGTCGTGATATCTGCACAGGCCAGTGAAAAACAGAGAAACTGGTTTCAAAGTTCTCACAGTGATTATGAACATTAATCCAGGGTGTAATGCCACATGGTGTGGCAGAAGTCCACTGTTGCCTCAGAGGAATGTGCTGCCTCCATCTTCAGAAATGAAGCCAGAAACCGGCAAGAAGCTGCTTCTAATACTGTTTCTTATACTCCGCAGTCCATCATCAATGCAACAAACTGTTCCTTCTTTGTTACACTTTCACTTTTGACACAACATGTTTCGGCCCTAAATGGCCACCGTTAGGTGTCTTACTATGCTAAAACTGCTGCACTGCACTAATATTGTCCATTCGTCACATATGCGACTGCACGCTTTCATAATGTAAAACGTCATATTCATAGTCATTTGGTATGTGCTAAAAAACACATGCTGTAGTTCACTTAATTTAAATCAATAAAATGCATTAAAATTTATATTAAAATTTTTTATTAAAATTTCCTTTAAATTTTGTAAAATTCTTATTACACCTCACAGATACAGATCAAAACAAGTGGACAACGCCCATTGTGAGGTGTAATAAGAATTTTACAAAATGTAAAGGAAATTTTAATAGATTTTATTGATTTAAATTAAGTGAACTACAGCGTGTGGTATTTTAGCGCATACCAAATAACTATGAGTATGAGTATGACGTTTTAAATTATGAAAGCGTGCAGTCACATATGCGATGAATGGACAATATTAGTGCAGTGTAGCAGTTTTAGCATAGTAAGACACCTGAAGATGGCCATTTAGGGCCGAAACGTGTGTCAAAAGTGAAAGTGTAACAAAGAAGGAACAATTTGTTGCATAGTTGACAGACTGTGTAGTACAATGAACAGTTCTAGATATAGTAATGCAACAAGATGTTCAAATACAGGATTAAGAATCTGCTTGCCACCAGATAGCAACCATCCAGAAATTTATCAGTAACTGTAATTAATAAAGTGTTCAGGTTTCATCATATTTATTAAGCGAAGTAACTTTCTACACAGTTGTATCAGTGGGATTGTATGGCACATGACATGACCAGTAATTTGCTATGCAGGGTGTTTCATGTAACTTATGTTACTACATCCCGGTCCAAAGCGAGCATTTGAAGACTCCTGGCAGCTTGCAGCTTTGCTGTTCATTCCAGTGCCTCCAAAAGAAGAGTCTCCTCCACATCCTCTGGAACATTTTGTCCTGGCCTGCCACAAGTCAGAATGACAGCACTTTGTTTCATATACATGTTGGGCTTTCTTTATGTTGTTCAGTATCTCTTGGACCACATTTTTCATCTCAGGTTGTGAACACTTGGTCGTTGCTTGTATCATATCCAGTGGTACCTGCAAAATAACAGAAGGGAGTTTATTTCCTTCTACTGATTACATACATGTTGTTAAACCCCTGACATGTTTCAGTCACACAAGACCATCTTCAGGGGGTGTACCATATTGAAAGGAAATTTTAGAATTTATATATATAAACAAAAGATTTAAAATTAAAGTTTCCCATATGAATGTAATATTCGTTGGGCATCCTGTCATTCAGCATTGTATAGTCTTGACTACTTACAGCATTATTAAGTAAATCATGAAATTAAAGATATAAGGTCAAGACAGTGAATTTTGTTTAATGAGGCCTGTAGAAATATTCCGTTGAAGAACTACATTAGTTAACACATGCAGAGTTCACATACATATTTCAGTATGTCTTGGAGAACTGTGCCATTGGGGATGTCACAGGTGAGTGACTGTAGCAGTCGAAGTTGCATGAGTTTCATTTCATAGGTGGTGTCTGTCTGCAAGTCATGGGCTAGTGCTGACAGCAGATCTGCTTGTTGCTGCAGGAACTTGAGCCCATCATGGTTGATGCTGGTGTTGTACAGCGCCATTAACAGAAGCCTGCACAAGATACAAGAAGGATCAAGGTTCGCTTCAGTCTGCCTTATTGCTTTCTGAATTGTGATTGTATCTGTGATTTTCTGATTCCAGATGATGCTAGCAAGAAGTGCGTACCTTTTCAGACAATTTCCTGAAGGCACTGGGATGACAGGAAGGATTCGGTTGAACTGTTCGAGGAGCTCCCTGCCATTCGAGTTTGTAACCAGGAACTGTCTGCCAGCCGATGTAGCTGCAATGTTGGTTACAATGCCACACATGGACAGGATGAACTGGCTCTCATTGGCATACTGACTTGGCATCGAGGAGTCATACGTCTCCATAAACGATATCAGTGATCCGTGAACAATAGCCAAGAAGTCTGCAACTTTATTCTGTAAGACATATTAGTTATAAACTGAGCTACTCTCAACACTCAGCAGCCCCAGTGAGACGATGACCATGGATGTAAGATCAGTATAAACATCTTCCGGACTGTGACACCGTGTAGACTTGTATGTAGATACCAACGTTTTAGAGTAACATGCTACCTCCATCTTCAGGATTGAAGTCTCACAACCCAAAAGACCACAGTCTGAACAACATTCACTGCTGTGAAAATCTGGAAACTTGCATAAAGATAGTCTAACTTCTCTCATATGTTAAATAACACTGACATACCATGTCTCTTTTTGCCTGGAGAATGAGAAGTGGGGCACCCAAAATCATCCAGATTGTGTCACTGAATTTCATTGCCACAAGAGATGAACACTGTGATGTTCTTTGTACACTAATCTTGAAATGAAATACAGATATTTCTGGAAATGTGTAGGAAAGGGGATGCGGTCAGGCTGCTGTTTAAAATTTGTTTGGTGGGGAATGAGTGGATTGAAACACCAAACTGAGAAAAATCATGAACAGAAGGAATTTGACACAGAGCTTATTGGCTTTGAATTACTGAAATTGAACATTAAAAGGGGGCTCTGCTGTAATCAAGAGAAATGTCACATTTTATATTTCAGCTCAAATATAATGGCGGTAAAGGTAAAGTTGTCCCTATGCTTAACTAATTAAACAGTGCACCATGGAGTGGATGTATAGACCCTCATTTTCTTGACCTCAGCACTAGTTGTAGGTGGGTGGTCAGCTTCACATCCTGGCCACTCTACCCGCAGGGAAAGAAATCCTGGTACCCATTGGATAGGAGGCTGGGTGAGCCCCAGAACTGGTTTGCATGACATGGAGAAGAGAAAATTCTTGACCCTAGTAGAACTCGAACTTTGACCTCTCTGTCATACTTACATGATTGTTGTGCCATATTCAGCACTGCATGGACCTGCACTGTGGGGTACTGTTGCCCCTAAAATTTGGAATTCACAAAGGCCTGGTGGAAATAGATACATTTAATTGTTTAAATTCTTCCAGTTCTATGGAATGTATGAAATATTCTGTCAGAATAGATAATGCAAAAAAGAAGTTGTAAGAAGAGAGATTTTTGACCCTGAAGATAGAGACAATATGTTCTTCCAAAATGTCAGTTGACTTTCAAAGGACTACACAGCAAATAAGATCTAAAAGTTTGTGACAATTGTACATTAGTAAAAATTTATATTATATTATCAAGCAAAAATGAACATGAGCCATTGTCTTGCCTTTATCTGAAAACTGTCCTGTTTATTTTTCAAAACAACGTTTCAGAGACTGGATTCTGTCTCTGTCTTCAGGTAAAACCTACTTAGCTGGGCCCAATTGATGGAGCTATTCCCTATTTCTGAACTGAACAGGACAGTTTTTAGATAAAGACGATGATGAATAATGTCCAAAAGCATAATATTTGGACTACACGGTGTTATGTCCCAGAAGATAGTACTCATAATAATCACTGCTGTGAGAACCTCAAATCCTACATAAATTGTAAGATGTAATAGAATGTAGTGAAAGATTATGAATACCATGTGTAATGTTTGTAGGACCTGGAAAGACATGTAAAGTAAGGAGTGATTATGTGAAGCCACACGGTACATTGTGAAGTTTCAGATGTCAAGGTGAAGTCAGAAGTATTACTTGCATTGAGATAATCTGTTGCTGGAACTAGTTGACCTTCAGATAATTACTGAACAGGACAGAAAAAGGAAGGTCACTGGGTAAAATATGTTCTAAATATGTGTGTCAGCAGTGATGGTAATGACTAAGACAGGAACTCTCCTTCATATACAAGACTTCCACAGTTAAGGCTTTGCCTGAGAAATTGGTTGTTGTTATGTCTATGTTTTTCCTACTTCAGACATAAAGCCACATTCACTTCTTCCACCTCATTATTAATTATCAGCATGATGGTAGTCTCAATTTATACTGCATAACATGTATAGTTGATAAAATGTTATTAAAGAAATACGGATTAACTAGGATAAGGTTAAATTATACAGTAAAATTAATGTGGAAGAGCTCTTCAAAGACTAGACTGTAAAGCCAACATCCTTACCGAGAAGGGGTTCTGATATAAGCACATCCATATAGCACTTACAGAAGAGTTCTGTTTGGATGAGAAGTAGGAGTAACCATTCTTTGTCTGTGATGTGGTTGCTTCCCTTGCCAGTATAATGCATTGTATGGTGACTGAAACTTTAGGTAAGTAAAACATAGGCATGTAATGAAATAAAGTTTTGGAATGAGGATATGAGTTGTGTCCAGAAACTCTCCTGCAGTACTTAGACATAATTTAACAGCTGTGGCCTCCGTATGTATTAGTATAAGTATTTTTTTTTTTTTTTATTGCTAGTGGGGTGGGACTAAGTCCCTTGTACTGCGGCCACTTCTGGCCTATTGTACCAGCCCCAGATGATAGGTGAGGGTGATTGTGGAGCAATTGGTGGAATGAAGATTGGCAGGGGAAACAGAAGTACTCAGAGAAAACCTACCCCAGCGCCACTTTGTCCACCACAAATCCCACTTGACTAGACCCGGGATCGAACCTGGGCCACCGCAGTGGGAAGCCAGCAACTAACCGCTAGAGCCGTGGTGTGGCCCATTCAGTGTAAGTAAGTAAATGCATATCTTTGTGCGTCTGCTGCAGGAAAATCAGCATTGCAACTTTGAAACTTTATCATAGAGGTTACCTATATTTATTATCTCTGGGCCCTTCAGCTCATGGATGTGTGACTCAGAATGTTTTATTACTATGGTTAGTGTGAAAGTCTACTTATTTTTGTCACAATCTCGATGCTTTTCATGGAGATGAAACAAACCCATGCATGTAAGAAGAGCAACACAAATTTTCAGTTTTTCCTTCTAAAAAATGAACAGATTTTCTGTTTATACTTGTGCTGTTATTATTATTATTATTATTATTATCTGGGATGCAAGGTGTGATGAACATGGTGAATTAAACACACATTAGATAATTGTGACGAAATAATGGCAGTGTCATGTGTTTGGAGACAAGAATGAAACTCGAGGTGATGCAGAATCAAATGATACAAATTTATAGCTTAGTAACATAAATGCAGAGACATGGTCCTCTAGGTTGGGGGTTGGATGCAAAGCTGACAACCTTGCTCTGTAAAAAAATATTTGTGCAAAATTCAAAAAGAGTGAAAACTGGATGGTCTAACAGAAGACAAATCTGGCAGAATCTTCTGAAGAAAGCATGGCTAAAAAAAGAAGCTGTTCTTGCTGCCAATGATGATGAATGTACTATTTATTATAAAAACATGTGACCTAAGATTACTACTTTTCACCTTGAACTCTCAGTGTTACTAGTAGAGGAACTGACATTGTATCTTCATTCAGGGTTCCCTCTACTGTCAAGAGAACATCAAGTCTTCATCAGGGGGACTGGCATGCTTCACATTCCAAAAATTCTATTTTGGTAGAGCCGAAGGTCTCAGTATATAAGCAGGAAAGGTAACAAACACACCTGACCAGGGACCAAACTTGGAAACCTCAGAATGAGAGTCTAGAGTCTTGCCCCACGACCGCCAAGTGCCCCAAAATCAGTACTCCCCACCAATCTCAGAACTGTATCAACAAAGATGTATTGCTAAAATATGAATCATAGGAATTTGTTTATACCCCAGACAGAAGCATGTCAATAACGGGAGGAAGCCTAGAAGCCTTCCAAATGAGATTTCCCATAACTGCTCCCAGGGATGCGCAGAATTGACTCTGCTGCTGCACCAGACTGCGCACTGTGAATAATTCAGCCTGCATCTGACCCATGTTTTCCTGTTGGCTCTTCCAGCCATTCTGAAGATTTTCGTACTTGCAGCTTAGAGCCACCAGTTCACCATGTAAGTCAGCCATAGCTGAAAAGACACTTGTTTGATCAAATCTGTTACCAGTAATAGAATAGTCTCATCTCCTACAACAGTGATTCTCAAGTACAGCCAGTGGCTATTTTCATAGATAGACACGTTTAATTCCAGATGTGGTGTTTTTCTTTCCATACATTGAATAAATTCAGTAGCAAAATATACATCCAGTGATGAAGTTCCATACATACATCCAAAATATCCACATTGAAATATTAGTTAATACTGAAGAGCTCTGCCAAATTTTTGCTTCAAAATCACTGCACTGGAATTTACAATTTATAAATGGTCTCAGTCAAAATGTTTAATAGAAGAAAAACAATTAAAGCATGGAACTAAGTCACCTGCATGGTGCCAATTTTGTCTGCTCTACAGTTTTTACAGTTAAGCATGAAATGGTCTAGGTGAGAGATCCCTAGATCAAGAAATTTGGAAAATATAGTTTTAAGCACCACTGTCAGCTACTCCACAGTAATGTAACTCATCATCTATATCCATTTTATCTGCACTGCTAAATAATTGAGACTTCATAAGATCACCTTGGTGTGCACCATGAAGCTGAGAACTGATTAAAAACTCTGTGTTTTTACAAAGAGATTCTGTTTCCCGTTGTAGGCGTGTTAAGTCTGAATCGAGGCAGACGAAAGCTGGAGACGTAGCAAAGTCAGCAAACAGACCATGAAGACTACTGCTGACAGAACTTAAAGTAGTAATTATGTCATCCTGTAAAAATATGTAATTACACTTATTTCACAATTTCTGATAACAAATTATAGTAGTGCTAATATAATTGGGCTAAGTTTCAATTTGTAACTCTTTGTTTCTAGTCAGTGTTAGGGAAATAATTTTATGCTGACTACTATAGTGCAGTCATTTGAATGGTTCCATTAATTGAAGATCCTAAACGGAAATAAATGATATGAATAAAGGATTTTTATGATATCTTTAAATTAGATGTTAGATAACCTATTAAACGTTAACTGCATGCATGTACTATCACGTCAGATTGAAACTACTGTTTTTCCTTGTAACACTCGTAATCCATGCTTACCAAGAAGTCACTTTCACCACGCAAAACATATTCAGAATTATTATCAGATATAATTTCTGGTTCTGTCATATTGTTTGTCGGTCTTGCTGTTTAAATGGACTCGTATTTTTACAAGATCTATGAGAATAAAGTTAGGTTAAGCAAATCACAGAAGAGAAATACTCGAACTTCGCGCTCACCAACTCTGTGAACGCGCAATGAAATAAGTCGAATTAATAGAAGGCTTTGGTTGACAGTAGACCGTCTAATTAAGGCGCCATCTTTAAACTCGACACTGCTGCATGTATTCGTATTTTGTAACATATCTTTGTCTGAGCTGGTATTACCAAGTGTATAATTTTATTTGAAAGTTATCTCGCATGATACTCCATCAAGACGTAATTCAAAGAATATTGAAACATAACCACTGATTAACATAACTCCGGTCTTTGGGTCGAGGACAAACTTATCGATATGATAGTGCATGTCACTCGTATTAATCCCTGCCTCTTGCAACTTCCAAGCGCCGTAAACGCTTGGATTGTACACAACTAAGTATAGAGAATGTGTACAGTTGTAACGGGATTTGTTATGAACTTTGTTCGCTGGTGATCAAAATTATCTACTTTTCTGCCTATTATTGTCGTATTCCTGCATCTCGCGATTTAAGAAGGTGTCGGGGTCGCCTACATAAACAGCAAATTCTTCGTGTTATTTACAGGCAGTTTCAGATTAAAGAACTTCATATATATTGCTGTTGACCTAACTAAGACTCGGTGCTATCCTTCAAAATCCAATGCACCAAATTCGAAGCGACGAGTGAAAGCACATACTCAGAATTAATTCAACGTCATTTTAGAAAGTTTATTTATATTGTACGGACCCAGGGGTGCATAACGGTTTTTGGATTACGCCTGCTGAAATGTTGGAACGATTTCACACTATTTTTTTTTTCTAGTGGGTTGGGACTAAGTCCCTTGTACTGCGGCCACTTCTGGCCTATTGTACCAGCCCCAGATGATAAGTGAGGGTGATTGTGGAGCAATTGGTGGAATGAAGATTGGCAGGGGAAACCGAAGTACTCTGAGAAAATCTGCCCCAGCGCCACTTTGTCCACCACAAATCCCATTTGACCAGACCCGGGATCGAACTCGGGCCGCCGCGATGGAAAGTCAGCGACTAACCGCTTGAGCTATGACGCGGCCTTTCACACTACTTACGTAACTCTCAGCACTGATACGCAAGTTAATATTTTGTATAAAATATATCAGTATCGCCTTTTTACATTAGATCTGAATTTCATTCTTTTTATTTCGAAATAGACTGATTGCGTTATTCGAAATTTCTGACAAAAGTTAATTGATTCAGTTTGCTGTTGTTAATTTTTCTTACGTCACATGCTGCTCATATATCCTTGTGCTCATTTCCTTTGGCCTTTCATACATGGAGCTGTAAGTGCTTTATTAACTCTGTAGGACATACCATGGTTACTATACGTACCACCTTTAAAACTCGCATTTTTCCCACACAGTGTATTAATCTGTATCTCACAATAAACAGATATTTTCTTAAAGATGTAACTAACCTCATACAGTTGAGCTCTCCTTGAGAAGCTGTCAGTCGCTCAGCTACTTAAGAATTTCCGAACATTTTGTGAAAGCCGAAAGTTCATCACCTGTCCTGAGCCAAATCAATCCAATCCATACCACCTTATCCTGTTTCTAAGATCCATCTTTGTATTATCCTCCCACATACGTCTAGGCCTTCCTGGTGGTCTCTTTCCTTCTGGATTTCCAACCAAAACCCTGTATGCATTACCCTTCTCCCACATGCGAGCTACATGCCCTGCCAATTTCATCCCCCCCCCCCCCCATTCTAATTATATTTGGCGAAAAGTGCAAGTTCTGAAGCTTCTTATTATGAAGTTTTCTCCTACCTCCCATCACGTCATCTCTCTTCTGTCAAAATATTCTCAGAACTCGGTTCTCAAAACACCCTCAGTCTATGTTCCTCCCTTAATGTCCGAGACCAAGTCTCACACCCATACAGAACCACAGGCAAAATTATAGTTTCGCTAGCCCCACCCCAACCCCCAATCTGGAAGACTACAATTGTCGGCAGCTACCCTCAATATCTGGAGGTTGTCTCCTCCATGCCATGGTGACAAACGATCCACCTAACATGGCAATTACGAGTATTTCTCCTTAAGCAGTATTAATGGGTTGGTCTTTGTAATGGAGATGCAGTGTATTTTCTACGAGGTGGGTTCTCTTATTGTTTTCTCATACATGTAGAATATATGAGAGCGTACCGTGATCCTGAAAATGTCGCTGCCGAGATCGCAACTCTGTTTGGAACGGGAAGAGCGTCTCGCTAGCGTCGGAAAAGTTGCATGGATTTTATTAATATTTGGTGTTTAAGAATTATAATCCGTAATAAGCCAACGTCCGTTGAATATCAACATTCTAGCTCCAAAATAAGGGCCCTTTAGATGGCCCCCAAAATACAATATATCGATTTTTTGCAAAACCATTGTAGCGACTTTCTTTACATTTCAGTACTGTGTGCAGCCCACCCGCTTAAATAAAATGTTATGGTTGGTAGTTTTAGTGGCCGCGCGGTCTAAGGCAAGAAGTGTCTTGACCCGCTCAGACACTGGGTTGCTGGGTTCAAATCCCACTCGAGGCATGTGTCTGTTTTGTCTTGTGTAGGCAGCGGACTTGCGGCGTGCTGAACCCTCGCCCACGGAGTCTAGGGGCCGAAATTGGAAACGTTTATTGTGTCGAAACGGGCTTTACCGATCAGTTTTGATTGTTGTTCCGCATTCAGCAGCCGGTAATGGTCTACCGAGCAACAATCGACTTCATTTCCAACCTGACATAATCAAGATCATCAAGATCGACCGTATATGACGAAGCACGTGCAACGTCTCTGCGTCGATTTATAGAACTGAGCTTAGTGGATTAAAATCAGCTTGCACTGTACATCCTTTCCACGGCCCCTCAAGGGTATACCACTGACCCGTGTTTGCGGCTGCCCTGTTCGCTTTGCGCAACTTATACGAGTTCTATAAGTTGCTGTCATGTCCTGTTTAACGCCCAGAGTCATTCGAGCTGCTGTTTGTCTAGTACTGTCGTGTTTCTGAGGTAATGATCTTTACATGACTGGTATATTTCATAGCTAGGCCTTAATTTAGTGTGCTGTTGATCCAGGCTTGATGTTACCAATTGTTTGATGCTGCTGTTTTCTGGGGTTATTTTCCTAGTAATGAAATAATTAGATAATCTTTTTCTCGTGGAACTTCATGCAACGCGAGCTGTTACAAACGCATAGGTACGAAAGCTCCTTCTAGGGGGCTAGTAGTTTTTCGTGTGTCAGAGGACGTAGATATGTAGATTACGGAGTTGGTGTAACACCAGGACCAGGACTGCGGCAGTTCATAGCGTTGATGTAATAGCTAACAGTAGCTGAGCTAATGGTTTAATGCGTTGTAGTGATACTGACCTAAATGTGATTTTGGGTACCAGTCTTTATGTCTAGGCTCTCCAGCCAAATGCCCGGATAATGTTTCAATTTTAAATTGAACTATAGAACAATGCTCGGCCACTGACCAACCCTCTGAGGAGCATTTTATATTTTTACAAAGTAAAAGAGAACGCCTAACGTGTAGGTGCGTCCGTCCGTCTCTATATGATCTAGGATTAGTGCCTAAGGTGAAGGGCAGATTTTATTAAAAGTCTATACCAGAGACTACCTAAATGCTATTTGGCAGTTTCGATTTTTAGCCATATTGATCCAGAACAAGCATGGTCTCCGTAAGGCTATAAATGGATTTCCACACGTATCCACAGATTATGTTGAAATTCTGTATGGGAAACGTCTGGTAATATGGACGCCATTAATCCCATTTTAATGACGTTTAATTAGTAATATTGTGTACCACATTATGGGGTCCACGCTTTCCAGTTCCGTTTTTCTCATTTCACTCGCGTCATCTTTTCCTGAGTGCCCGCCCGTACCAGACATTCTGCAGCCTGTGTGTCAGAGGGGTCAGAGGTGCATTGCGTCTAGTTTGAGGAGGAGACCATGCAGAGTGTAACGTTTTTGGGAAGCTATTCGGCTACGTAGCATATCAGGGACATGTTACAGAAGGACATGCTGTATCACCAAAGAAGAATATGGAAGAACAGAAATTGAATGGGGCACATCAGCGTCTGGTCTTTTATTAATGATGTTAATTTGTTTATTGATGTATTTTCACCAGAGTGCAAGACCTAACCTTACCATAAAAACTGATAATAGATCCTTCGAAAATCTGACAGACTACAAATATTTGGTAACACCAGTAACAGATCGAAATGATGATATCCAAAAATTAAAAGGCAGATTCAGTTCAGAGAATGCATGTCACTGTTCATTCCAATGGCTACATGTTTTGAACATGGTAATGAATCTTCAGGTTTGTTAAGAGATGAGTTTCTTCAGTAGGTGAATTACTATCAGCTTCTCAAGAACAGCTCTGCACCATACAGTTAACTGTAATATTTGCATGTCCACAGTTATAGTGATGGTCACCACTCGACACATGGGTGTGCTTGTAGCTGTTGTGTCACTGTTCTTGTGCCTCCATCACTCTCACTCTGCAGTTCCGCAGCCTGTGGCTGCAGCAACACAGCGCCCTGTTGTGCAGGATCCTGCTTTTGTGGATGCTGGCACTCAACCGGGACTCCTCATCTGGAGAATAGAAGTGAGTTATGTACCTTGCACTGTAAGAAGTTTGTGTTAGTTAGTAGACAGTTTTGCGAACAAGAAAAGAGATATTTGTCATGGCTGTATTCTAGATGAATTCTTGTTTCTCTGTGCCAGTTATGAAGTTTGGGGCACTGAATCAGGATGTTTTGTACGCATGTGTGAAAGCAGAATGCATATATAACTTTTGGTTTGGAAACCTTAAGAGAAGAGGCAGGCCAGATGAGTGACTTCTGAGTGAGATGGATGATTCTGTCTATTTATTTATTTATTCACTTCACATCCATGGATCATTATACATGACATAGGACAAGTCAAAACACTCTATAATCCAATACAACGATACAATAAGACAATACAATGATACAATAATAGAATAATAAGAAGAACAATATAATTTTATACTAATATAATAATTAAATGATGAGCACTATATTTATCAGTCACAACACATCAAATTTGAGAATAGATTAACAACATGTTTCGGCTATTTAGCCTATTTAACCTATTTGGCAGGGGAAACCGAAGTACTCGGAGGAAACCTGCCCCAGCGCCAGTTTGTTATCACAAATCCCACTTGTTCAAATCACAGTGGTGGGAAGCCAGCGACTAATCACTTAAGCTCTGGCGCGGCCTATAAATTGATGTTGGAGAGTATGGTCATCTGTCGTTATCCGGGTAGTTCCAGCCAATACCTCCTGCTATCCTGTTCTCTGCAAGAGTAAAAAACAAAACAGAGCAGAAGGTATTCCCACATATATGTTATTGTAAAGATGTAAGTCATTTATTCATTAAGTATATGATAACTAGTAATTATGATTTGATTTATCCCCAACCACGAAAAAGTCTTCTACCCTATAAAAACAATGATCCAGCAAGAATGTTTTCAGAGTCTTTTTGAATTTGTGTAGTACTGGTATCTCTTTAATATATTGTGGTAACTGATTAAACATTCGACATCCTATATTACTAAAGTTGTTTTTGCATAAACTCGTATTACATGGTACTGTATATAGGTTATCCTTTCTCCTTGTATTGTATGAGTGTATTTCGGAATTGATTGAGTAAGCACTTAAATTTGCCTTTATGTAAACCAACACTTCATATATATATAGGCATGGTAAGGGTAATATATGTAACAGTTTAAAATATTGTTTGCAACTAACAGTTTTCGGGATTTGTATCATGATTCTAATAGCTCTTTTTTGTAGCTTAAAGATCACTTTTGCTTCTCCTGAATTACCCCAGAATATCAATCCGTATATTAACATAGATTGAAAATACGCATAATATAAAGTACGAACAGTCTCTGGCCCAGCTACTCTACTGATTATTCTTAGGGCAAAACATATTTTACAAAGTTTATTTGCTAGCTGTTGAGTATGTGTACGCCACTTTAGATTTTTATCCATCCAAACTCCTAGGAACTTTGTATAATCTATATAACTAATGACTGTATCATTAAGCTTTATTAGAGGGTATTCAGTTTGTATTTTTTGGGGTTGATGAAATGATATTGCTACTGTTTTTTCTTTATTAATAATTAACTTGTTCCTTTCAAACCAGTCTGTGAGTGTATTTATTGTTTTATTTATTTTTCTTTGAGCATCACTAGCATTTTTTGCTGCTAAAAATATGCTAGTATCATCAGCAAAAAGCGTTGGTCTTCCTTCTTTAATGCTGGTTTCTAAATCATTGATATAGATCAAAAACAAAACTGGTCCAAGCACAGAACCCTGTGGAACTCCATATTTTATGTGTCTTTTTTGCGATAGACAACTAGTTAAATCATTAGTTTCTATACATCTATATGCTATCTCAACTCTTTGTTCTCTATTTTCTAGATATGATTGAAACCATTTCAATGCAACCCCTCTTATTCCCATTCTTGACATTTTCCTCAGTAATATATCATGATCAACCAAGTCAAAAGCCTTTGATAAATCCAGAAATATCCCTATACTTATTTCTCTTTCATCCAATGATTTGTAAACCTTTTCTATGAAATCTGCAATGCAGTATTTGTTGATCTCCCTTTCCAGAAACCATGCTGTTTAGTGCTAATTATGCCGTATTTATTCAGAAATGATAGTAGTCTTTTCTTTATGATTTTTTCTATTATTTTTGAGAAGCCAGAGAGTAATGACACTGGTCTATAGTTTCCTACTTCTGTTTCAGGTCCTCTCTTATATAAGGGTTTAACTTTTGCCATTTTTAGTTGTTCAGGAAATTGTCCTGTCGAGAATGACAGATTAATAATGTATGTTAAGGCAGGAGTTATTTTAGGATAACATTTTTTTATAACATAATCAGGGATATCATCTATTCCTACTGATTTTTTATTTCCCATTCCTTTAATTACTTCTATCACTTCCTCGTTTGTAGTGGGGGTTAGGAACATGCTATTGCTATTATATTTTACTATATTAATATCTATTTCATTGGTTTTTACTATTAGATTTTTGCTTATCATCTCTTTGGCTACATTAGTATAGTATTCATTGAAAAGATTGGCTGTAGTTTTTGGATCCTGTATGTGTACTCCATTTACGTTTATTTCAATATTCTTAGCTGTTTTCCTTTGATTACCTAATTCAGCCTTGACTATGTCCCACATGGCTCTTGATTTATTCTCGGATGATCTTATTTGTATGTTGTTTGTCATCATGGATCTTTGAGGACTAGGTCATGCAGTTTGAACTGGGTTGAATTTATGTGGTGACAGGAAGCAATGGTGCTGATCGTGGTGGATGCACAGTCTAAGGCATGAACTGTCTTCGCCCTCTTGAGCACTGGGTTCGTGCATTTGAATCCCACTCAAGGCATGGAGGTCTGCGTTCATTTATTCTGTGTTTGTGTTGTAGATAGTGGCCTTGTGGTGGGCTGATCCCCCATCCAAGGAGTCCTACTGACTGTGTATAGATTAAGAAACTGAAAAAGTGGCCAAGGTGCACAAGGTCTGTAGAGCCATAGATGGATAGGGACCTGTGGTTCAGGCTGCCTGGCTCTTGCTTGCATTTGCAGTCACAGGTTAAATCACAGGTGGCTGAGATTTATGGCAGGTGAAGTGAAACTGAATTTTCTCAAAGTGTCTGGTTTTGCTGTACACATAGCACCTTATAAATACAGTGTATTTCTAGGAAGGCAGTGTGAAGTTTATACCCATGGCGTTGAAGAGGCAAATTTCGTTTTTGTTGTGAAGAGGCAAATTTGTATTGATCCACATATTTCATGTTTATTTACTACTGTTAAAAATTAACTCTCTCAATGGAAGTGAGCACTTAAAATATGCAAGTAAGTATTATAAAATAGGCACTGACAAACAAGTAGAACAATATATGCAGACATTATATTTTCCTTGCATATCATTAAATATTTTAATACAGTATTTTGGAATAAATAAATGTTTAGGGAGGGACTGTTTTATAATTTGGAAGTGACATGAAAATATTAAAATTTACATATTTTCATCTTCCCTTTGTGCTGGAATTTCTACTGCTGAGACGTGTATTTTATGTAGTGTACAGATTATTGAAATGTGTTCACTAGCTTCTGGGGTGACGTACACAATGCTTTATCAGTAAAGATATGAACTGTCATCCTAATTCTTAATTAATTACCAAATTATGAAGGCATATGAGGGAATGGAGGTATGGCTTCATGAATTCTTAGCGTCAACACTACATGAAGACGAGAGCTGAGATTATGCTCTGTCCACTTTATCCCTGGGAAGTGAACCCTCCAGTTTCCATTGAACAAAAGGCTGGGCAGGCCCCAGAACCCATCTGGGTGCTGGGGAGAAGATAAAGAAATCTATTGCTGCCACATTAGATACAAATCTGATTCTTCAGTCTGCCAGTCTGTGAACTAGTTGCTGTACCAACTGAGATATCCGTTTGTGAAATGGCACATCACTTTATTCATACTGAGGTCAAGAGGCCATGCAAATGAAAGTGTGTCCATGTTGCACTGGTGCAGGCAGTTAACGGTGTGGTAGTTGCTGTGCGAAGTGATGCTGAACACCCCTACCCAGATTGTATCTGGCTGGCACAGATTCTTTCCTGCAAGATTACCGCAGATGGAAGCTGAGTAGTGTTTGTTGATGAGAATAAGAATGCATGGAGTTTTACCTCCATCCCTGTACATCGTATGAAGTATTTGAGTGTTCAGATAGATGGTACATATAGTCATCACTCTGCTCTAATGGGTTGCATGGACCTCCTTGGTTTACTCATTAATTTAGTTAAGACTTAAGAATGAAATCTGTTCATGATGTAGGAACTCTTATCTCCAGGAGAAGTTCATGACCCAGGGCAAAGTTCCATGTGTCTGTATATGGAACAGAACTGGTAAGATACAGTCATGACACCAGTGTCCAAGCATAGCTGGTGAGACATGTATGGTATGTCCACTGGATGTCCTTGAGGTGAGAACCAGGGCTTTCATTCAGTGGGTTGTTAGTTCCACTACCAGTCAGACCTACGTGTGGATCGCTCTGCTCATAAATTGAATCTGTGAGCAGATAAAACTTCAGAAATGTAAAGATCAGCTCCCCCCCCCCAAACGGTTTAGAGCCTACATCAAGTTCTAGGCCCCTCAGTGCAGACGATTTTTCTCATGATCTTCCTATCCTGCCCTATCAGTGCCCCAAACTCAGAAATTGGTTCGGCACCCTTCTCCAGGTGAGTGGGGGCCAGGAAGATGAACATGACCAAATTTGGAGGCCCCAGACAAAAATTGGAAACCTCTGACTGCACAAAGGTTGGGTTCCAGTCTGGGGCACACTGCATTCAAAGTTGATCTCGGTGTATGTTTACTGCAGATGAAACACCCAGTATTCATAGAGGAAATTAACAGAGGTAGCGTTGTAAATTCAGAATTTAACTAATGATAATACTCAGACTTTACCTATGGTGTCACTAAAATAAGCTTTACTGTATTCAGGCCATGTGTTTAACATGTGTGTTCTTCTCATTAGGTTGTAGACAATACATAAGTTTGCAAGTCATTTGTTAAAGAAAAATGAATTTCCTGCATGAATAAAGGCAATGATTATAGGTAATGGTACTGGATATCACATGGAGACAGTCTCCAGGTATAGAGGTCAGCACCAGATATGTTGTTGGAGAGCTAACAAGGCATGCTGCTCCAAATCCCCAGATTTTGGGCTGTGCGAAGGGTTAATAACCCCTCACCACAAAATATCAGCAGCTTATGAAATGTTATGCAGGATCTCTGACAGAATCTTCTGAGCAGTCCAAGCAACATGAAATGGACATGAGATTTGGGACCTGCAACAATAGAGCCTCTGTAGGTCTCCAGCCCCATTTCCCTGTGCTCTAGCCTACTGCTTAGTTATGAGGCAGTTAAGCACTCTGCCAATAGGACATATGGGGTGATTGGAGGTTTGATCTCCTCAGTAGATGCAGGTGAATGCTCAGCTTCACACCTCTGATGCTTTACCCTCAGGGAAGGAGACCCCAGTACCCATTGGATATGAGACTGGGTGGGCCCCAGGGTCAGTCTGGACACCACGGAGAAGAGAAAATCTTGCACTGCCAGGAATCGAACCCAGGCCTCCAGCCCATAGCTCATTGCTGTACCGACTTGAGCATTTTGGACTTACACTCATAAACAGTGCAGAAAATAATTTAATGAGGTGCACAAAGCCGAAATTTAGAAGGGTAATAAAATTTGGTTTGCAGAATGTGGGGAAAGAAAAAGAAAATTATAGTTTGGCACCCCTGCACAGATGGAACTTGAAATATTTCATATTGCTGAAGTTCTTGAGCTGAGCCATCAGAGAAATGTTTTATATTTGCACTGAATATCTGATTGTTGCGAAAGCCTCAGACTTTGAAACGCTGTTGTAAATTGTGCATGGAATTATAAAGGAAATGAACTTAGTTGTTTTTATCTTCACTTGTTTATTGACTGTTCTATAATTATACATTGTATGTGAAACTGGCCTCCATGACGTATGTTTGTAGTTTTGAGAAAGTTTAGCTGAGTCAGATTTTAAACAGCCGCCAGTTTTCTCAGTATTAGAAATAATTCCCAATGTGCTTTTATATTAAAGCCCTGTATTTTTCACATTTTGTACATTAAAAGTCTTGGAGCAGTGTAAACTCTTACCTGGTCCTGTATTTAAGGACACTTTTCAATAGTATATACACATTACTCTGTTTCAGAGATTTAATCCTGTAGCAGTTCCTTCAGCCAAACATGGCCAGTTCTATGTGGGAGATTCCTATCTTGTTCTCAATGTAAGTACAGATTCCTGACATGTACAGCGTTGTTACATTTGGTACCCCTGAAAGTTCTCACCCTATACCCGCTGGCGGCATTGTTCAGCTACAGCAGTAATGTCCCAACTCAACAGAGGTAACTCCATTTACAGAAACACAACAAATGCAAAAGAAAGATGAAGTGTATACATGTTGGAGGTAAAGAAAATAAACGTCAATGAGCCATAACATGAGGCAGTATGTTGCCCAAAGGTAATGTTTCAGGGAAGGCAGTTAAGAATATCAGATAATAGTAATTTATTGTTTTTTATATGATTGCATCGGGTTTCTGTTGTATTATTCAAGGGTTGAGATTAACTATAACACAAACATTTAAAAAAAACTTGCTTTTATTCCCAATCATGTTCAGACTGCGAGATGACCACCATCAGTTGGAGCATGCAGAAGTAGTCAGGAGATCTGTCTCTGCTCTGTGCAGTTATATTTATATGAGTCTTGCAACAAACTAGCATCATATTGCCCATGTTCTCTCATTCATATTCTCTTTGCAGTTGGTAGGCATAATTAAGCTTTAGAGATCTTGTGCCCTCTTTGTGTCTGCTTTGTTCTTGTGTAGTGATGTAGTTATAGTTGGAAATGCTGAAGAGATGACTCCCAAGCACAGAGAAGGACGTTATGGTGCTCGTTGGGTTCCAGTGGCTTGGGATAGGGGCCAGAGTCAAGTTTCTGTGAATGTAGCAGTGCTCCTACAGGTTCTTTAATAGCCAGGAATTACTTGAACTGCTGAGTGACTATGAATTTCTGAGGAAGGATTCTGCCATGTTGAGATATAGTGCCAGAAACTGTTAACCCTGCAGAAGGATATGTCTATTCATGATGCATGTTCATTACATGTTGCAGACGAAGAACAACAAACGCAGCTGGGACATTCACACCTGGCATGGGAACGAGACTTCAAATGTGAGTACAGACAACAGACACAGCTGTTCAAGCTGGTTTCTGAATTGGTTATTTAATGACACTAATTATCAGAACTATTTAGCATCAATAACAGAACGATTAATGAAGGTTGAGTGGTTGATGGAATGAGAATTGGCAGGAGAAACTGAGTTAGTCGGAGAGAGCCTGCCCCAATGCCGCTTTGTGAACTGCATACCCCACATGTACTGACGAGGGACTAAACCCAGGCCACCACAATGGGAATTCGCATAGTGGGGCTGGAGTCCAGTTGGGTCCACTTCGCACAGCGGCCACTGGTTGGCCTATTGTACCTGCCCTGGTTGATTATGATGATGGAGAATTTGGTGGAATGAAGATTGGCAGGGGAAACTGACATACTTGGAGAAAACCTACCCCAGCGCTACTTTGTCCACCACAGATCCCACTTGACCAGACCCGGGTTTTAACCTGGGCCGCTGCGGTGGGAAGCCAGCGACTAACCGCTTGAGCTATGGCGCAGCCTTCCACAATGGGAAGCTAGTGACTAATTTCCTGAACTACAGCACAATCACAGTCTGTTTGGTTTTATTTAGGATTCAGGAGGAAATCCTCTATCCGAACAATTAAATTCCAACATTCAGGCCTTATGAAGCACCCTCCCTCACCTCTAGACCCCAAGTCAGGAAAAGAATGAACATGGATGTTGAAGGTAAAGTTGGTCCTCTGCTTACATATACTTCCCCACCATCTTGCCACTTGCTGCAGAAGCAGAAAGTCATTTATTATTGTTCTAATTCTTATTGTGATTGCCTTTAATAAGTGACAGGAGGTTGGAGAAAAATGCACAGTGAGGAACTTCGTAACTTGTACTCTTCACCAAATATGTTTAGAATAATCAAGTCAAGGAAGATGAAATTAGTAGGGCATGCAGCATGAATTGGGGAGAGGAGGAACACATACAGGATATTGATGGGAAAGCCAGAAGGAAAGAGAAAACTAGGAAGATGGGTGGATAATATTAAAATGGATCTTAGAGAGATAGGATGGGGTGGTATGGGATGGATTGATCTGGCTCAGGATAGGGACCAGTGGAGAGCTCTTATGAACATGGTAATGAACCTTTGGGTTCCATAAAATACTGAGAAGTTCTTGAATATCTTTGCAGAACTGGGGGCTTTTCAAGTAGAACAAAATGAAATGAAATCCAGCAGGTATCGAGATAACATTGTGAGAATGGAAGCAGTAAGAGGGGGGGGGGAGTGCGTGCATGCGCGTGCACGTGTGTGTGTGTGTGTGTGTGTGGGCAGGGGAGGCAAGGAAGTGGAATTAATCGAGAAGTTCCGTGATCCTGAAAGTGGCTTTAAATATTAGGAAGTCAGTGCTTGTATTCTTCACACAAGTTCATATGTACACCATGCATTCATGAGGACATGCTGCTGGAAGTTTCAAGGTGTCTCTTCCTGAATTGTATGTCAGTGATGCATTTTTTCACAGTCCTATGCAGAATTCTCTCAGATTTTAACCATTGCTCTGTTGTGCATCTGATTCCTTGGCACAATGAAAGTGTGACTTGACCTTTTCAAGGCAGTTTTATTATTTTGACATTTAAGTAGCATTGCAAAGCGAAAAAATATGTTGGCAGATTATAAAAGGTAGTGATGTGATAATTATGATGATTCATTATGCACAATTTTTATCATACATCTTACTGTTATCTCCCATTCACAAACCCTGATCTCAAGGTGTGTGTATATAGCTGTAGTTATACTGACATCAGTTGTCCAGCGATTGAGGTTAGCTCTTTCTAATGGACCCAGTGCCTCCCACCCCCTCACCTGAGAACGGAAACAGATCCAGTTTCCATAACCTCATATTCTTTATAATACCAGACGATGGGATAGAACCCCCCCCCCCAAATAGTAATCCTGACTGAAGTATCTTACTTGAAGAAGGTCTCAAGGAGTTATGCATCTGCAGACAGAGTTTATCTGTTTCTTGTTCATTTTTGGTCTGCTGCAAGTAACATGAAAATGCAAAACTGTGTGAAAATTTGTCCACATTCTACTTGTGTCTTTAACAAATAAAGCTGATAGCTGACACATGCTTCTATTCATTGTAGTCCCTCAGAATATTTATATATGATAATCATAACATATATTGAATGTAGCCTTCCTTTTCTGTCATGAAACACTGCTTCTATGGCACAGTTTCAAATAAGTTGTTTGGTGACTCAGGATTAGATCACTGCAATATATGTACATACAGATATAGGAAAGTAACATAGTAACATAGGTTTTCTCTGTCATTGTACTGTACACTAAACTGAACATGTGACAGGCAGGTGTTTAAACTGTTGGCATCTAAGGTACACTGGAACCTCGCTTAACGAGCACTCTCATAACGAGCAATTCGCATAATGAGCAAAACAAATTGTAAAAAAATGACTCACTTAATGAGCGACGTTTCGCATAATGAGTGACGAGAGGGGAAGTCCCAGATTGTGCGCTTGCTACATCAGTCTGTGTTTAGCACTCGTTCTGCTAGCATCTTAGTGTCGCTTGTGATCACACATTTTTCCAAACTTGTGTTCAGACATATTATTTGTGATTTTTTTTGTCCAAAGTTTAATAACCCTTGCAAAAATGTCCCCGAAGAAAAAGCCGCAAAAAGACAGCCATAAGAGAATAAAAATAACTGTAGAAATGAAACATAAAATCATTGAAAAGTGAGAACGAGTGTGAGCATGACTGATCTAGCAAGCACATACAATCGGTCTACATCAATGATTTGCACGATTTGGAGTTGCATTGTGTTTCACAGCAAGAAGTTGTGGAGGAGAGTTTGTCAGAAGAGGAGGAGGAGGTACCAGCAAAGCAACAATCTTCTGGCACAATAAGAGAAATGCTGAAAGCATGGGAAACTGTTGCATCATACATTGAGAAGCATTACCCTAATAAGGCAGTGAATATGCGCGCTACAAATTTATTTAATGATAATGCTGTGTCGCATTTTCACCAAATTTTGAAGCATTGGCAAAAACGAATGTCTATACAGCTTTCTAGTAAAAAAGAATTATATATGTATCATAAATAATAAACTAATTATTTCGATTTTTTTTTTTTTTTTTGTTTTTTGCAAATCAAATTCGCATTCCAGGTTGGTTCATTCCGCATAGAAGAAAAGATGAAGATGATTCACGCTCCTTAACAGTGTATATATAATCTTCTTTGAATAAACGTTATACATAACATTTTTTGAGTATTTTTTTCGGCATAGAATGCATTATTGTATTTTACATTAATTTATATGGGAAAAATTGTTTCGCTTAACGAGTGTTTCACATTACGAGTAAGATTCTGGAACGAATTATGTTCGTTAAGCGAGGTTCCACTGTATCTTACTTTTTTGTATGATCTGAGCTTGGAGACTTTGTGTTCTGTGTTGTAATCCTGCAGTAACCTGTATGATTAATCACCCCTGAAATGTCTGCAGATCTCTCTTGACAAAGAATATTCATATTAATATCGTAAAACAATGATTGTAGTGTCTGACATGGCTTGATTTTTGCCAGGATGAATCTGCTACTGCTGCAATCAAGATGGTGGAACTGGACAACTTGCTAGGTGGGGGGCCAGTGCAGCATCGCGAGGATCAGGGCGAAGAATCGCGGCTATTCGTCTCCTACTTTCCTTCTGGTATGAACATGCATGTGCTTTCAGGACGCAGTGCTTTTTGGTGGGAAGGAAACAGTCACTGGTGATCGTGCAGTGATAGCTTGCTGCGTGACCACTGTGGGAACATTGCAAAGGTTGCCCATATCTGTGATACTGGCTTCATCTAAACAGAAATTCATCACTGATTGCATGAAAGTTATGTCTGTTCTAGTTTGAACCTTAATTAATACTACTTTATTTTTTTTTATATAAAGAGGCCACTGATTAGTAACATTTATGAAACCCAAAAATACATAAAACTTATTTACAAAACTTATTACAGCTTCCAAAGTTCCTGTGGCCTCAGAATTGGTTTTCTTTGCACATATTTTGAGAGGGATTATAGAGGCTGATACCTGTAATGAGTTGTGAGCAAATGCAGTGGCTAGTTTTCTGCAGTTTGTAACGTCTGACCACTTATAACTCTGAAGTTTTAAAACTTGTGAATCTGTTTATATATGGTTACAAAGAAAATTTCGTTAAATTTTACAGTGTTTTCTTTGTTGTTTCTCCATTTTCAAAGGAGTTATTGAAGGAAAGCCTTGCAGATATTTCCCTTTTACCCCCATTGGGAGGGGGGGTGATTTTTAATACTCTGTATTTCAAAACCACTTGAAAGGAAAAAAAAATATGTGCAAAGATGTTTGGTTATGGGACCAATATGTATGCCAGATTTCATCACAGTCCTATGCACAAAGATTCAGTGAGTGTTGGATTTTCATGGAATGTCTGTATACTGTGTACTGGCACTTCTTGAATAGTGTGAATGATTTGCTCACTCTGTATTCATGTATTTTGCATATCAACAATGTTAAGTTTCCTGTAATAACTGCACAACTTCCAAATATGATGATGCCTTGTTGTACAATTAGCAAACATATTTTGATCTTAAGGGTTTTACCTTCTGTAATATAATGTAACATAGTCCATTGAAGTTCAGCTGATGTTTTAGAGGAACACGTCACCTCCATCTTCAGGACCAAAAAATGAATCAAATTCTTGGCTTATTCTTTGACCCTGAAGATGGGGAGGCGACTTATTCCTCCTAAATGTTGGTTGACTTTCAGTGGACTGCATGACGTTACATACCATAGCCACTGCTGTGAGAACTTCAGAGCCTACATGTTTTGATCAGTACAGTAGCATGTGAAAGTCTTCTTACTCAGGTATTTTTGTTTTGAGATCCGAGTTTATTACTCTTGCAGTGAGGTATACAGTTCAACAGCAATTTTTTTCAGTGGGATCCTTAAAAAGGTAAACTTAAAGAAAGTGGTGCCCTTGGAGGCTGAGAAAAAGTCTCTGTGTATTGCCACTTCTCAGAAAGTGGTGGATAACGTAAAGAAACAATGTAAGCGACATGTGCTGACTGAATACAAACTGTAAGATGTTTTGAAAGAGTTAGAGGTAGTACTCACAAAGTGATAAGATGGAGTTTTGCATTCACAGCTGTAGGACTAATGAAAAGCAATGGGTGTACTTCTGCAGCCATTTGCTGCAAGATGTGTATGCTAGAGTTATGGATCCACAAAATGGTGTTTGTTCCCTATGAAGCCTTACCCTAGTGTTCATGTAAATACATGGAGAATACATGATGGGAATCCTCACACCATTCAACAAGTGCTGCTACACAGTACAGAAGGGGGGGGGGGTGTGGCGTGCTCTAAGAGTACTGTCAGGAGTGTGTCAGAACTTCACTGTGTGTCACAAAACTTCTTTACCTGCAGTGAGACGTGCTTGAAAGCATAAGGGGTTCAATTCTAGCAGTTCATATAAAGTATTGTGATGTGACAGCTGAAAGTTGGAATAGTGGAATGAATAGATGCGGCTATTACTAGGCAGTGGCGCAATAAATAAGTTGCTGTGGCAACAGTAATGGCATTCTGTTCAAGTAGATGTTTGTGTTCTTCCTTCTGTGATCACATGGTAAATTACTACCATGCGGTTAGAAGTAGCACATTCCTTTCTAAATTTAACATCCTCTGTGTGTGTGTGTGTGTGTGTGTGTGAGAGAGAGAGACAGACAGCAGGCACTTGCATGTGCAAAGGGTTTATTTTCTTTCACACCACTCAGGCATAAGCTTTGGATTCTTCCACCATCATGTAAGCCTGACAGGTAACCCCAGTTTTCTTCTTTTTCCACATGATCTGGCTCTTTTCAACCTCAGTGGCTGCTGGGCACTGAACACTTCTATAGCAGAGAACCCAGATTTAATACATACATTAGATGATATATCATATAAATTCCATCCTAAGTGCAACAATTTATTGTAGGTCTTTCGTTTTGCTTGCTTCTACACTACATGTTTCGGCCGCAAACGGCCATCATCGGGTGTATACACTCACGTAGCTGTTACACTGCACCCAGTTTAAAATTTAAAAACACACATGTCTTCCCAACTGGCTAACAGGTATTTGTCTGATTCGTACATCATCTTTGTCACCCACACACATCAATTTTGACATTCATGAACTGGCGCTTTTAAAATCTTCAGTTCCAATTTTAGAAAATTCCTTTAAAATTTTTTCCAAATTTTGGGTGTGGATGACAAAGATGATGTACGAATCAGACAAATACCTGTTAGCCAGTTGGGAAGACATGTGTGTTTTTAAATTTTAAACTGGGTGCAGTGTAACAGCTACGTGAGTGTATACACCCGATGATGGCCGTTTGCGGCCGAAACATGTAGTGCAGAAGAAAGCAAAACAAAAGACCTACAATAAATTGTTGCACTTAGGACGGAATTTATATCATATATCGTATAGAGTGTAACAGGATGCTTAAATATAATATTACATACATTAGATGTCTGAAGAATGTAATCATAAGAAAAATTCTGTTATTTGCTAATTATATTTAGTCCAGAAGCAACACATTTCACACCATCTGAAACAGTGCTCAAGGGAGAGGATGTAAGCCCCACAATTGAACACGAATAATAACATTTGGCACTACAAATTGTACCTTACTAAGATGTTGCACACTGCAGGGGGAGTTTGGCAGGAGGTGAGATCAACGTATATTTATACTTAAGTCATCTAGGCAGTAATGACTGTAGTGTCTCCTGGTATGCAGGTAGCGGTTTTCAGAGGAAAATCCTGACTCTGCCTTCAGGATCTTCAGATCTATCATTGGGTTCATAATCAGATTCTAAATGTTTCTTCTGATGATAAATGACACTTGGGATTACCTGGTTTTTGGACTTTGCCCATTGCTCAGTATTCTAAAGAACATGGCGTTTGGGAAACTGGACCTGCTTCCATCCTTAGGTGATGGGGTGGGAGACACGAACACTACTGGGTCCATTTCAAAGACATAACCTCAGTAACTGGGCCCTGAGGTTAGCTCTTTGTAATGCACTTGACAGAGTAGGCATCTCCCAACCCCATCACCTGAGGATGGAAACAGGTTCATTTTCTTAAATGTTGTGTTCTTTAGAATGTCCAAAGCCCAGTAATCCCTCGTTGATTCATAATTTTGGCAAAACAAATGTGAGGGGGCTGCGTAGGAATGATGCAAATTTGTTAACCTCATGCCTTAACTTGATAAATGCGAAAAATTGACTGGCTGCTGGCTGAATGACCTTGGCTCCTGCATGTCCACTCTCCTGGGTTCATACTGGATGGGTAGAGCCATAGAGCCATCAGATTGTGAAGCTAGCCTTTATCTAGTGGCAGGGTCTAGAAGGAGTGGAGTTTTTACATAACATGGTGTAGTGGTCAGATGCAGGTAAAAGCTTGTTCAGCTTATCAAAATTTGCAGGACAGACTTTGTGACTGATATTGCAATTTCTGTATTGTTCCAGGTATTAAGTATCTACCTGGTGGTGCGCCAAGTGGATTACGCCGTGTGAGTGCTCCACGTTAAGAAAAGTATTTTCCAGGTATGTACGTTTAAAGTGTTCAGTGTAGTTGGGAAGTAGTCTGTAGTAATCCTGCACATTGGAGTTGTCGGTACCAATTTAGCTGGTGCATCAACATATGCTGATGTACTCCCCCAAATGTGCACATACCGTTTTGAACATGATGGAATCCACAAAGGTTTTCAAGCAGTAAAATCAGTTCTTCTTTTTCTTTCCCTGCCTCATTCGTGTTCAATCAAACAGGCCTCACAAATTGAGTAAGTACTGTTGTTCAAGCACTTGTTACAAAATAAGTTTATCTTAAGAACTTGAATGTATAATATTAAAGTAAATGTGAAGCATTTAGTGTAGCTCATTTGCTGTTGCATCAAAAAGATAAAGGGTCTCTTTCATCATCATCATCATCATCATCATCATCATCTTCTTCTTCTTAAAGGGTTCAGGCCATGCTTCGTCTGTTTGTCCTCTGTCAAAAAGTATGTCAGGCCTTCATGTTTAACTGTGAACATCATATGTCTTGTTGTCTTATTGGGTTGTAAGTTAACATTTCTTTGGAGCTCGTCTATCTTCCATTTGTAGAACGCAATATTTCCACTGTGATCTGGATTTTAGAATTTTGTTATTTAGATTAAAAATATTCAGTTCTTTCCTTATTTTAGTGTTTATTATTTGGTCTTTCAGATATTTGGGAACGACAATAACAAATCAAAACCTGATTGAGGAGGAAATTAAGAGGAGATTGAACTTGGGTAATGCTTGCTACCGTTCAGTCCAGAACCTTTTGTATTCTCATCTGCTGTCCAAAACATAAAAATTAGAATATACAGAACTATAATTTTGCCTGTGGTTCTGTATGGGTGTGAAATTTGGTCTCTGACATTAAGGGAGAAACATAGACTGAGCGTATTTGAGAACAGGATGTTGAGAATATTTGGACCAAAGAGGGATGAAGTGACGGGAGGTTGGAGAAAACTGCATAATGAGGAGCTTCATAACTTGTACTCTTCTCCAAGTATAATTAGAATGATCAAGACAAGGAGAATGAGGTGGGTAGGGCATGTAGCACGAATTGGGGAGATGAGAAATGTGTATAGGATATTGGTGGGAAAGCCAGAAGGAAAGAGACCACTGGGAAGACCAAGGCATAGGTGGGTGGACAATATTAAAATGGATCTTAGAGAGATAGGATGGGATGGATTGGATTGATCTGGCTCAGGATAGGGAACAGTGGAGGGCTCTTGTGAACACGGTAATGAACTTTCGGGTTCCATAAAATGCTGGGAAATTCTTTAGTAGCTGCAGAATTGGCAGCTTCTCAAGAATGGCTCAGCTCCATGAGTGATAAGTGATTATTTGGTTCTTACTTGTGTAGCCTGCTGCTCTCCAAAAATATTTCATTTCTGCAGTTTCAGTTTTTGTTTCCTGTTTTTTGATACTGTCCAACTGTCAGTTCCATATATGGTACAAGTGTAGGCACCACCATGGCTCTATAAAATTGTATCTCTGTATATCTTGTCATTCAACATTCTTCTTGCTGTGCTGCACATTTGGTCAAAACCTGAAATCTCTTAGTACATAGTTTGCATCCTGTTGTCTCACATAAGATATAAAGCATACAAGAATATACCATCTACTCAACAACACTCTGTATTTTAAAACAAAGAAGACACTACTGTATCAACATTTGTTTTTATTAAAGCTTGACAAGTGTATGAAAATCAAGCTTAAGTTATTGAAATGCAATGCCAACATTCATTTTAATAAAACCTGCTTAGATCTAAATTTAACGCCAAAATATGCACAAACCAGGGTTAAGATGCACAATAAAACACTTGCTAGACATATAGAGAATAAAATGCATAAGTTATGAAGTAAAATATTGGTATGCTAGAAAAGAAAACCTCAATAGAACTCTGTACTACTTACACATTCAGAATGGTAAACAATTGGGCAATATGTGGAACCTTATAAACAGCGTCCATAAAAGCTTTAATAAAACAAATGTTGATACAGTAATGTCTTCTTTCTTTTAAAATACCCAGTGTTGTTGTGTAGATGGTATATTCTTGTATGCTTTGCATCTTATCTGAAATCTCTGTTGTTTGTTACTGTATGTTCCAAGTAATTAAAACTATTTACTTGTTCAGTTACGTGATTATTTATTACTATTTTAGTTCTCACAGTCATCTTTCCTTTTATGGTCATTGCCTTTGTCATATTTACTGACATATTTAAATTATATTCTTGACATACATCTTACTATGGTGTGGACTTTGGCAGCTGAACTAAATGTGATGTGGGAACATCCCACATACTATCACGCTGTTTCGCCGATCACTGGACAGCACTCACTCCTAAGTCAATAGCACATTGCTTGCGACTCTCACATTTGTACAGCACCCGCTGTCCAGCTCACTTTTCACCATCACGCGTGCTAACCAATCATATTGCTTCCAACACTTGCATTTATACAGCACTCACTGTCTAGTCCACATTCAGATCATTACACGCGCTAGCCAATCAGCGCTCAATCGCAGCTGCAAGTTTTGCTCCTCCATCAAGCGTGGTATAAAAGGCAGAGCCCCAAGCTTGCAATCATCAGTGACCACATCAACCAGTCAGCCATCACACTTGGTCCAGAGCGATCGGTCTTCAGAGTCATTGGCTCTTCACTGCATCAGGGACGGCTGCCTCAGCTCTCCGGCGGTCATGCCCAACACACCGGGCAACTGGCGCAGCTGCCGCCACTCCAGTGACCACGCTCTGCGACCAGACGTCTTCCAGCAACCATGCTCTACGACCAGGCAACTTCCAGCAACTGCCGCACTGCGACCAGGCAACATCCGGCAACTACCGCAACAGTAGCCAATATCTATTTCTACCGGCGCACGCAGCCCTACTTCACCGGCCAGACAGACCAGCCGAGCAGCTGTAAAACTCTATCTACCACGGTGGAACAGATGGCCCTTTTCAGGGCCCACAAACTTTCCGAAGTGGTTGTCTGTTGGAGTATTGACAAATCCCACAGTAAATTATGGAATTGTATTCTAAAAGAATACACACTGAAAATGTACATGGACACAAAGTGATGTCAAGGAAGCTGGACGCTAACATCACAATATACATTAAGGACAGGTATTAGACAAGATGTTAACAGGACAAAATTTAGATTCAAATTATGTTATGTTGGTATGATTGATTCGGAATAAGTAGTGCTGTGTTCTGTGAGTCAGCGTACTGTAGTGAAATAAACAGTCACGTAGCAGCCATGTAGCATCCTAGTTTGTTTACCTGATACCTCTTCATATAAAGACAAAGAAACAAAGTTTTACAACATAATAAATTAACAGGTTATGGGCCCAGGCAGCAAATATTATGCCCTGAAGTGTGTTGTGTGAAATGGTTGAGCTTGTTTAGTGACTTGTGTGGGAGTTCTCTTTTTTTTTCGTGGAAAATTGTTAGCCGTGAGAGGGAGGCATCTGTTGAAGAGATCCAGTCAAGGTGGCGGAACAAAGTATATACTGCGGTGTGAGTAACCAAGAGGAGAAAACTTTTACGATACCGAAACTAACTCGACGCAATTATAATGGGTGGATGGCGCATGTGAAGTCAGAACTTTTATTACGTGAATGTTGGGAGGCAATTGCTGGATATGAAGATGCAACAGGAGCGCAGTTATCACGCGGAGATAAGGAGGAGAGCCAAAGAAAACCTTACAGCATTAGCAGTCATCATGAGAACTTTAAGTGACGAACTGATCAATGACATACAAGACTGCAATGAGGCCAGAGACACATGGGGAATATTGGATAAAGTACGAGGGGGGACCCAAAAATAACCGGAACCGACCTGTTGTGCACGCATGCTTTGTGGTTACGAGTTGTGCTGCTAGGTGGTGTTAGCTGGGGTCTCCCATGACTGTTAGTGAGCTGGCGTCAGTCTGAGTTAAGTGGTTTCTCTGTGATGCTCTGTTATGTGTGTTCCTGTTTCAACCCTTTGGCGATTAGTGAGATGGCCGACCAGAAGGAACAAAGAGTGTGCGTGAAATTTTGCTACCTGCAGCACGAAGACTCATCGCCAGTCACAATTCTTTTAAGAAATTCTGGATCGTTCTGCACTTCACTCTTCAAGTCGCGGCAAACATTCACGCGATTTTCTCTTTGGTCATCTCCCAGCAAGCGAGGAACAAATTTTGCAGGCACCCGTCTCACGTGCAAACCTTCAGTTAAAATTCTCTGGACCGTGCTCCATGAGATGTTCGTTTCCTCAGAAAGTTGGTCAATGGTCTTTCGACGATCTTCATCAATTGCATGTTTGATTTTGGCAATGTTTTCGTCATTTCTTCCTGTCGAAGGATGCCCAGGGCGTGGCATGTCTTCTGTTGACATGTTGCCAGATTTGAAACAGGAAAACCACTCGTAGACCTGTGATTTCCCCAAAGCATCATCATTAAAGGCTTGCCGAAGCATCCCAACAGTCTCGGCTGCAGTTTTCCCTAACAGAAAGCAAAATTTCACGCACACTCTTTGTTCCTTCTGGTCGGCCATCTCACTAATCGCCAAAGGGTTGAAACAGGAACACACATAACAGAGCATCACAGAGAAACCACTTAACTCAGACTGACGCCAGCTCACTAACAGTCGCGGGAGACCCCCAGCTAACACCACCTAGCAGCACAACTCGTAACTACAAAGCATGCGCGCGCAACAGGTCGTTTCCGGTTATTTTTGGGTCCCCCTTCATATGTAACGAAAACACAGAATATGTTGCCATGATAAAGCTAAGAGAATTAGCTTGCATACAAAAATCTGAGGATGTAAGCATGCAAGATTATTGCTCAAAGATTATGACTCTTAATAGGCTACTGAAGAGAAACGATCTTGGATTTTCAGACAGACAGACAGCAGCAATATGTCTAACTGGACTACCCAAACCCAAATATGAGATAACAGTGAAGACACTGATAGTGCAACCAGATAATTAGTTAAGCAATACTTACTTGAAGAAGAGGAACAAGAAAAGCAAGATGAGGAGGAAGAACATCAGGAGCTTGAAGTGAAGAGAAATTACTCAAGGAGACAAACAGAGATGAAAGATGCAGAGGAGCAGAACTACCAAAGTCAATACAGCTATCAGGACAAAGGGGAATTCAGACCCCGAGGAGGTAAACAGTATGAGCGTACCAAGCAGCGGTTTTGGTGCTATGCATGTGGGGAAGAAAACCACATTGCATACAATTGCCCTAGGCGGTTGGAAGGAGCCAATAACAAAGAGGAGAGAAACGGTGAAAGGAAGAGTAAAGATGTGGAAACCAAAAGTGAGATGAAGGAGAGGGCCAGCGCATCTGTAGTAACTAGGGAGCATATACTACTATGTACTAAGAAGAATATAACAAACAATGGGAGTGTATGGCTGCTCGACAGTTGAATATCTGATCATATGACAAACAGGAAGGATCTCATGCACGACTTTGCAAGCATAAATGGAGAGGTAGCAGTAGGTGATGGAGCCCCTTTAAAAATTGCAGGAAAGGGAAGGATAATGCTCAAAATGTCCAAAGAATGCAGAGGAAATGATATCGAGTTAAAAGATGTGCTTTATGTCCCAGAGCTACAAGATAATCTAATTTCTCAAGGCCAGATTGAAGAAAATGGACTTAAGATTGTGACGCATGAAGGTACGTCGAAAATCATGCGTAATGAGAAGATGATATTTCATGCTCACCGAGTGTCAAGGCTGTATTATGTAATGACCCTGGGCAGCACCACCGTGGACAACATCAAGGAGACATATGACAGGAAGAAGAAAGTACTGTTGGTTTCATTGGCAACATGGCACAGTAGACTTGGACATCGACACTTGGAGGCAGTGAAGAAACTAGAAGTATTAGACGAATTAAGTACTAATCTGAGTGATAGAGAGAGTGAGTGTTCACCAGGTATTCAAGGAAAAATGAGACAAGAACCATTCCCAACTGGAGAAGGGGAAAAGGCCAAAGAAGTTTTAGATAAGAGTCCACTCTGACGTTACAGGACCAATATCACCTATGTCAATGTGACAGAAGAAGTACATTACGTTCATAGCGGAAGCCTCAAGGTACGTAACAGCTGTTGCTATCAGAAGAAAGAGTGAGACATTGGCAGAGTTCATGAAGTACAAAAATAGGGCAGAATTACTGCATGATAAGAAAATTAAAGTTTTACAGATGGACCAGGGGACTGAGTACCTGGAAGCCGGTGTATGGAAATATTTACAGGAAACTGGAATACAGCACAGAAGATCAGTTATCTACACACCTCAGCAGAATGGCTTATGTGAGTGCGTGAATTTAACATTGTGTAATGTGATCAGATGCATATTGATTGAATCAGGACTACCGAATAGCTTTTGGGCGGAGGCATTACAAACAGCTTGCTATATGAGGAACACGTGCCCATCAGAAGCTATCCAGTTCAAGACTTCCAACACAGATATGGAAAGGGAGAGACTTGAAGAAAGAAGACTTCCAACACATGAGAGTGTTTGGGTGTAGGGAATGGGCATGGGTCCCCAATGCACACCGAGAAGGGAAATTTAGCCCTCGGGCAAGATAATGTGTGTTCCTTGGTTATGATGACGGAACAAAGGGGTACCGTCTATGGGATAAAGAATGTAGAGTCGTAATTAATAGTTGAGATGTTAAGTTTCAGGAACACATACTCCCATACCTGGAAAGGGAGATGAGGCAGCGAGTGAGAAAACGACCCTAATACCAATCGGGGAAACACAGGATGAACAGGGACTTCTGATTGGAGAGAATGGCTTAGATCAGGATGAAATAACTTACACTGGTGAAAATATAGTCTGAAGAGAGGTACTGGACCAAAGGGAAGAGAGGGCTCAGTCACCATCTCAGCCGAGAAGGACGGAGAGGATTAAATACCCAAAGGCGAGGTGTGAGCTACCATGTTGCATGAGAGCCACATGCCTGGCGTCGGAGGAGACTGTATCACCACTGGAAACTATTCCTACAGTTCATGAGGCACTCAGCGGCCCCAGGGCAGCAGAGAGGAAGGCCGCGATGGTACAGGAGCTGGAAACGATTAAGAAACCAGAGAACTATAATGTCATAGGATGCAAGTGGGTATTTACAGTCAAAACTATCAGTGGAAGGAATGTTAGATATAAAGCTAGATTAGTGGCTCAGAGTGTCAAGCAGATTCATGGGGTGGACTACACAGAGACATTTAGTCCAGTAGTTCACAAGAAAGCGATGAGGACACTTCTAGCTATTGCTGTAGAGAGGCAGTGGGAAATGATACATATAGATGTGATTGGGGCTTACCTGAACAGCAGACTTGAAAATCTGATCTATATGAAGGAACCCCCAGGTTTTGAGGAGAGGTGAGACAGTTTTGTCTGTAAGCTTCGAAAGAGCATCTATGGCCTTAAGCAGTCAGGTAGGGACTGGAACAGTCATTTGCATCGAATCTTGGAAAATAAGTTAAGTTTTAAATGGTATGTAAAGGACCCTTGTGTATATGTAAAGAAATCAATTGTTTTAGCAGTGTATGTTGATATGCTTTTAATTGGCAAAGGAGAGGTATTGAAAGAAACTCGAGAGAAGCTATCAGATAACTTGGACGTGAAAGATTTGGGTGAAGTTTCAAAATTTTTGTCCATAAATATCAGAAAGGGAGGTAGTGGCAAGTTAATCCTAGAGCAAGAAGAATATATTGACTGGCTGTTAGGTGAATTTAATATAGGAAACTCTAAAGGGCTTAGTTCACCATTGGAAGTTGGATGTATTAACACCAATAGGGATACTGATAAGAAATTTTGTCAATCTACTGTAACCTCACCAATGGTATCTCCACCTTATCGTGGTGGTGGGGTTTCAGAGCTCCTGAGACCCTGAGAGCTATGCCGGCAGTATCATAGCTACTGGTAGGGCCACCCATGCTGGACAGGTCAAGGGGTAGGAGCCAGACAGAGAGGGATACCCTGGTCCTCCAGGTAGGGGGTTGGGTGTGAGGCCAACAACCTCACACCGTAAAAACTAAATTGTTCAGAAATCCGAGGAAAGAGTAGCCGGACGGACCTATTCAAGACGACCTGGAAAATGTTTAAAGGATTTGAGAATTGGATCTTGGAATGTATTATTTCTTTACAGAGCCGGAGCACTAAAAATGCTACTTGAACAACTCGATAGCTATAAACTAGATATCACTGCTATACAAGAACTGAGGTGGCTGGGTAAAGGAGTCATGGAAAAGAGGGATCATGTTATATTCATGTTATAGTTGTCAGAAGAAGAGTCACATGTTAGGAACAGGTTTTATTGTTAATAAAAAAAGGAAGCATCTTATTTTAGACTTCCAGGCAAAATCGCACAGAACATGTAGGCTACGAATTAAGGGAAGGTTTCTTAACTATAGCCTTATTTGTGCGCATGCCCCAACTGAAGATAAAAGTGATGAGGAGAAAGACTCCTTTTATGATGAATTGGATGAAATGTATGGCGAATGTCCAAAAAGGGATTGTAAAATAATCACAGGGGACATGAATGCTAAAGTGGGGAATGAGGATGTATATAGATCGGTTATTGGAAAACATAGCCTACATAACAAGTCAAACGATAATGGGATGAGATTAATAAATTTTGCTTCCTCAAGGAACATGGTAGTAGGTAGTACAATGTTTAATCAAAAGGATATACATAAACGAAACTGGAAATCCCCTGATGGAAATGAGTTTAACCAAATTGATCACATCCTAATAGATGCAAGACATTGTTCAGACTTGATGGATGTCAGAAGCTACAGGGGGACCAAGATTGACTCTGATCATTACTTAATATCATCAGAGATTAGAAGTTTAATATCTAATGCAAGGAAGATACATGGATCCCAGGCTAAGAAATTGAATTGTGGAAAATTGGTGGAACAAGGAGTTGCAACCAGATATACTGGATTAATTAGTGAATGCCTGGCAGGTCTCTCTGATAGTCAGGATGTCAGTGAAGCTTGGAGGGCCTCAGAGATGTTATTATAAATGCTGCTTGTGCAGTCTTAGGAAGAATGGAAAGGATAAAGTATAAGAATTGGTTTGATGGAGAGTGTGAGCAAGTGACAAATCAGAAAAACCAGGCATATAAGAGAATGCAGCAAAGGAGCCATACGCGAGGGGCCGTGGAAGAATACCATGAAGCGAAAAGAAAAGAAAAAAGATTGCATAAAAAGAAGAAAAGGGAATATGATAAACAAGAACTGATTGAACTGGAGCATTTAAGAAGTTCAAACGAAATTAGAGCGTTTTATCAAAAACTAAACAAGAGTCGAAAGGACTTTCAACCTAGAACAACCTTATGTAGAGATAAAGAAGGCACAATATTGAGTAGCGATGAAGCAATACTGGAAAGATGGGCACAATAGTTTGAGGAATTATTGAATGGCAATGCCTCTGAACAAGCGGAGGGTATGACCGTAGACCGGAAACAATGAAATTTTGAGGCTGCAGAGCCAGCGCTGACCATAAAAGAAGTAGAACAAGCTATCAAAAAATTGAAAAATAATAAAGCTCCAGGAATGGATCTCATCACGGCAGAATAAGTGAAATTTGCAGGCCCAGAATATGCTAAGCACTTACATCAGCTAATAGTTAAGATATGGATAACTGAAATAATCCCAGAGGAGTGGAACCTAAGTACTGTATGCCCTATCCATAAAGGCGATGTCATGGTATGCTCTAATTATAGAGGAATCAGTCTGTTGTGCATAGCACATAAAATATTTTCCAACATTCTATTTAACAGACACTCTCCCTTTGTGGAAGGCATAATTGGGGATTACCAATGTGGGTTTCATCAAGGAAGATCAACTAACAATCAAGATTTTCACTATTCGCCAGGTCATTGAAAAGTGTATTGAATTCCAAATTGAAACACATCATCTTTTCATTGACTTCCGATCAGCCTATGACTCCATAGATAGAGATAGTCTTTTTCTGGCAATGGAAGAGATGCACATTCCATGGAAATTAATCACCTTAGTCAGAGCCACTATGAGAAAGACCCAATGCCAAATTAAGATTCAGAATATGTTGTCCAGCCCTATAATAACTAGAAATGGAGTTTGACAAGGGGATTCCCTAGCCTGCCTTTTGTTCAATATAACATTAGAGAAGGTAGTTAGAGATGCAGGCATCAAGACAAGGGAACTGTATTCTATAAGTCAGTTCAAATTGTGGCATTTGCAGATGATATTGATATAATTGGTCGAACACAAAAATCTATGAAAGAAGCTTTTCTTAATTTGGAGCAGCAAAAAAGATGAATCTACAAATTAACCAAAATAAAACAAAGTACATGTTGCTAACCAAGAAAGACTGTGCTAATGGACCTGCATATATTGAAATTGGCTCATATAAATTTGAGGTTATATGTAGTTATACTTACCTTGGATCAGAAGTTAACTGTAAAAATGACATCAGTGGTGAAATAAAAAAGCGTGTACTTACGGCAAATAAATGTCTCCATGGCCTTAGGAAACACCTGAAATCCCAACTAATACCCAGGAAAACCAAAACTATGATGTATAAAGTACTTATTAAGATCAGCGCTGTCTTATGCCTTTGAGACCTGGCCACCGTCAAGATCGGATGAAAGACTGTTAAGTATATTTGAAAGGAGGATCTTGAGATATATCTTTGGATCAGTGGAAGAAAATGGAGTATGGAGGAAGAGGTATAACCATGAGCTATACAAACTATTTAATGAACCAGACATTATTGGATTTATAAAGGTGAAAAGGCTTGAATGGGCTGGACACACAATACGTGCCAGTGAGAATAGAACGATTAAGAAAATACTTAATACTAAACCAGAAGGGAATAGGAGAGTGGGAAGACCAAGGTTAAGATGGGAAGAATGTGTGTAGCAGGACATAAGAATTTTGGGTGTAAAGAACTGGAGGAATTAGCAACGAATGGAGAAGAATGGCGAGGAATCCTGAGGAAGGCCAGGGCTCACAAAGGGCCTTCGTGCCAGTGATGATGATGATGATGATGATGATGATGATCTACCATAAGGTTGTAGGATGTCTTTTATATCTAAGCTCTACTACATGACCGGATATCGCAAACCCTGTCTGTATAGTTTTAGCCAACACTGCGAAGACCCTCCTGTCACAGACTGGAATAATGTTAAGCACATCCTCCGGTATTTAAAGAAGACCAAAAGTTACGGATTACATTTTTGTAAGACAAACAAGGAGACTGCTGTGTTTACAGATTCTGATTGGGCTACTAATAAGATGGACAGTATTTCTATCTCAGGATATTGTTTCATACTAGCAGCAGGAGTCATATGTTGGCGTAGTAAGAAGCAAAGCCGAGTTGCCCTGTCTTCTATGCATTCTGAGTACATGGCAATGTATGAATGTGTCTTGGAGTTCGAATGGCCTAGGAACTTTCTACATGAGGTAGGACAGGACGATCTCATGGGCAAACCATGTGCCATATATGCAGACAGTGCATCAGCTATATGCATTGCTAATTCACAAAATACATCAGATAAGACTAAGAATATAAGTATTAAGTACCATTAATTTAGGGAACTAGTTAAAGCTGGTGAGATCACATTTGTATATGTAGAGTCCTGTAAAAACCTTGCTCATGTTTTTACTAAACCACTTTCTGGTCCCAAGACACAGGAATTTGCCAATTATTAGGTTTATATTAACTGAACCTTAAGATTGCATTAATTTAAGATAAGTGAACTTTGTTTATGACTTTTTATTTTTTCTTCAGGACTTTAACTTTTGTGTATTGTAATTGAACGATAGGTGTGTTCAGGTTAAGCGGTTATATACAATTGAAATTACTTTGAATTCTATAATTTCAAGGAGAGGTGTTAACAGGACAAAATTTAGTTTCAAATTGTGTTATGTTGGTATGATTGATTGGGAGTAAGCAGTGCTGCCCCCTCTGAGGCAGCATACTGTAGTGAAATAAACAGTCATGTAGCAGCCATGTAGCATCCTAGTTTGTTTACCTATACCTCTTCATATAAAGACAAAGAAACGAAGTTTTGCGACATAATAAATTAACACAAGAGGATATATTTATTTGGGAAATGAGATAAATTCAGAAAGAAAAAAACTGTGATAAAATCGATAGAAGAATACAGAATAGTTCTAAATGTTATTGTGTAAGAAAAGGTATACAGTAAACTCTCGCTAATCCAGATTAACTGGAGGTGGTCATCTGGATTAAGTAACAATCATATTAATGAAGCAAAACATAGCCCTCAAAGACAAAAAACTTAAACAAAAAAATAAATGGCACATTTAATAATATAGGTAGTGCTGATGAAGAAAAATATCCCTGCAGCAATTTCTTCCTCTGTCAGAAGCTGAAATCCAGGGTCTCCTTCATCCAGCTCAAGCCAATCTTGCATATTTTCTTGCATGATTCCATATTTATTGTACACTGTATGACATTCTTTATCCAACAGGCTTTCCTAATATGGATTATTTGTAGAATGCAAAATAAATATGAAAATGGATGCTACATTTACTGAATGCATGAATGAATTACAGTCATATTAAGAAGTTGCATAGTGACTAGCCACACACAAGACATTGTGCATGCTCTGCTCATGCACTCCCTTCTTTACCTTAATTATCTTATTGGTCTTGTTAATATGGAAACATATGAATAAGGAGTGAAGAAAATCCTCATGTCATTCAACAACTGCCATTACACAGTGTAAGAGTAGTGGCATGATGTGCTGCAAGTGTGGGGTGATGCATTCACTTCTGTAACTTGTGTCACAAAACCTATTTACATGCTGCAAGGCATGCTTGAAGAGAGAAGGAAGTCAGTTATGCAAGTTCTTATAAAATATAAGTCTGTGTTGCTTTGTCTAGGAATAAATACTGAAATTCTGTTTAAGTATAGAGAGAGAGAGTCAGTCACCAGACACTTCTGTCATGCAGTGAACTACCACTGTGCATTGCAAGCAGCATATTTACATATCAAGAATTCTCTTTGTCAGATTTCTATATTTTGACATCCTCTATTGACCACTTTTTTGTTATGCTCTAAGGCTGTGTGATGTCATTCTGACCATTACTGTACACTTTGTGGCAGATAACCAAACATAACCTAAAATCACACAAAGCATAATCCTCTATATTTATGAAACTATCCATGTTCATGTATTGTTATATACCTTCTCCTATTGTTTGCATTACAGAGATGATGTTTTTTTTTTTTTTTCAGATGATGGCCTGGACTGATGGACTTCTGAGAAACCATCAAAATATTTTTGTTCTGTGGGTTAATGATGTTACTGATATTATCACAGATAGGCAGTCTGACTGGCTTTGTTACACAGTGAGACATTCTTTCATTATTGAATAATATTTTACCCATCAATATCAGATCTCTAAATATATGCACTGAGGAAAATGTCATGGCTATATGTATGAATGAATATATGTGGACAGCACTGGAGGGCACAATTTCTGCTTCATGTTCAGGGGGTCCCCGGTTAGTCCATTGAAGTCTTCTTTTTTAAATGTTAGCCCCCTACTGCCCTTCGAACATTGTAGCGAGTCCCTACTGTTGCAATATTGACTTATTTTTAGATATTCTTTTATGCTCACTTCTGATATGACAGAAACTTTTGTATAATAAGGAAAAATACATGACATTCAAGCAAAATATTTTTAACTTGATGGTGAACATATTTTATGAGGGGGAGGGTTATTATTTATTTTCCTCTGTGTTTGAAAAGTAAGGCTATGAAGAGCCCTGCCTTCTGGGATATGATGCCATGTAGTCCGTTCAAAATTAACTAATGTTTGGAGGAACATGTTGCCAGCACAGCCAGTGCTACACAGACTTTCAAACAGTATTATTAGAAATAATATATGTCTAATTCAGTTGCTGCATTGTTAGAAAATACTGTCACTTGGCTGAGTGTCAGTATTGACGGAGTTTGGTTTGGAAAACGGATTTATTGAACACTCATAGAATGTAACTACAAATAACTATGACAGTCTCACTCAGTTACACACTCCAAAGATCACAGTAACCACAGCACACATAAAGTCTTCTCAGTCTTCACTAGCCGTTGCTCAGTAGCGGCTTTCAACGGCGGATGTTCCCCTTCCTCTGGGTTCTTGAACTGTCCCAGCCTCAGCTACCGGCTTCTCACTTCTCACAACTGCAACTCTCAAATGGCTCAACAGCAACTTCAGAGTTCAGAATTACTTTACAACTGGTGGAGTACCACCAATCAATTCAGCTTGGTGCCAAGCCCCTTGAGACCACAGAAAAAATCTCTTCAATCACTGCATGTTCTCTTGTTGCTGCAGAATCGTCCACAGAGCCATTTCCTAGCAATGGCTGTTGTACTGTCATGTGATTACACAGCTGTTACTAGGCAATAGGTCAACATGTCACACAATATTAATGGAAAATTAGACAAAACTGTATGTATGTGGTGAGTAGGCAGTCACATACAGAATCATAATTGATCAGTGCTTCTGACAAATTGTGGTTCTTTTATTACCACAAATAACTACTCTTTCTTTTTCATACTTGGGAGAGAATGAAACCACTCGGCTGCACCACGGGCTGAAGGTAATGAGTTCCTGCAGGAAATCATTCATTCATTCATTCATTAGTAATCTGTCAAGATGACAGGTTCACAGTCTCTTCCAAAAGTGTTCCTCCACTTGATGCGATCTAGAGCTTTATCCTTCAAATGAAAATATCCTCTTCTGTCCCCAAGGTCATCCAGCATCTTCTTACGTCTTCTTCCTCGTCTTCTGGTCACTTCTATCCGCCCATCTATCTTTCCTTCGATAGCTTCTTTTAGAAGGCAGTTTCTGCGTAAAACATGACCAATCCAATTAGCCTTCCGTTTTCTTATTTCATGTAGGATATTCCTCTGCTCACTGACTCTAATTAACACTTCTTCATTTCTCACATAATCGGTCCAACTGATCTTCTCCATTCTTCTCCAACACCACATTTCGAAACTTTCCAGATGTTTCTGATCTACTGCCCTAAGTGTCCATGTTTCAGCCCCATACAGAGCTATGCTCCAAATGTAGCATTTCACTAGTTTCTTCCTCAAATTTAAGTCCAATTTGCTGGTAAAAAGATTCTTCTTCTTGCTAAATGCAGCTTTTGCCATGGCAATCCTGGATTTAATTTCACAAGTACACCTTCCATCATCTGTTAACAAGCTACCCAAATATTTAAAACATTTCACATTCTCCAGTTGTTTTTGGTCTATCTTTATTGTGACTGGGGTTGGTTGTCTCGAAATTTTCATTACTTTTGTTTTCTCCACATTCATTTCCATGCCATAGCACCTTCCAATTTCAATTAGTCTATCAATCATACCCTGTAGCACAGTTTCTTCCTTAGCCATTAACACAAGGTCATCTGCATATTTCACATTTTGAATAATTTGACCTCCTAATTTGAAGTCTCCAAGCCTGTCCAGAGCTTCTTTGGTAAGGCATTCGCTGTACAAGTTGAACAAAATTGGTGATAAACAGCATCCTTGTCGAACTCCTCTTCCAATCTTCACACTTCTTGTCTCCCCTCTGTCCAGTCGCACTCTAACTTTCTGATCCATGAAGAAAGCAGTCTTCTGGGATTACAATTTACTAATCAATCTTCTTTCATGCCAATCGATACCTGTTTCCTTTAGGATCTGCATTAATTTAGTCCAATTTACACGGTCAAATGCCTTCTGCCATTCTATAAAGCAAGCACACAGTTCTTCCTCTATCTCCAAAGTTCGTTCTGCTATAATTCTCATCATCCCAATTGCATCCCTGGTTCCTTTTCCTCTTCTAAATCCAAACTGATCCTCTGTCTATTTTCCTTTCGATTCTTCTTTTAAGTATCTTTGCTGTTATCTTTGCTGTATGTGCAATAAGGCTTATTGTGCGATGGTTGCTGCATTTTGTAGCTTTTGTCTTTTTCTTTAAGGCAATCATTGTAACTTCTGTAAAGTCCTTGGGCCACTCCCCAGTTTCATATATGGTGTTTATTAGTTTTGTTAGTGTTTTCAAACCACCTTTTCCCAGTAACTTAAGCACATCTCCAGGTACATCATCATCTCGTGTAGCCTTTCCATTCCTCATTTCCTTGATAGCTTTTTCCACCTCACTTTGTAAAATATGTGGTCCTTTCTTGTCTGTATCTACTTCTTCTTTGGGTTCCACTTCCAAGGTTTCTGGCCGATTAGGTCAATCATATAGTTCTGTAATATAATTTTCCCAAATTTTCAGCACTTGACTCTGATCTACTATTCTATTCCCCTGGGAGTCTTCGATGTCAATATTTTGAATCCCATGGTTCTCTTTCCATCCTAGTTCTTTTGTCTTCATGTACATCAAATCATAACGTCCTGTCCTTTGAAACTCTATAATCTCATTACATATCTTCTCAAGATATGCCTTTTTGGAAATCATACCACTGTATAATTTATACAAATGCACAGACGCTGTATGCACGCACGTACACATGCGCGCATGTGTTGTGCAGTTGTATTTATTTTTTTATGTTATTCATATGATTCAGAAGCTTTGGTTTATGTCAAATAGATACAAAAATTGTTTGCTGTGGAGTATACTGTCTGTTATAAAATAACAAAACACATAAGGGAATGAATGGATGCTGTCCTCCAAGAGAAGATTTCCTGTCTCAAAAGGGTATACATGGCAGTGAAGAAAACAGAGATGTGCTGTTTGAAACCAATCAGTGGTCTTATTCACAGCAGTCTCATCATCCCACACAAATGTCATGTCCCTCATCACACCAGTGGGGTGTGTGGTCAGGTTGTGGGGGGAGAAGGGCCTCCATATGCAGAGATGCAGAGGGTAATTGCAACTGTGTTGAATAAAAACTGAAGGACAGCTGACAAGGGATGATGGTACTGCAGTTTGAGAGCTGGGCATAGTGCAGTGATGGATGTATTGGACACTTACAGACCAAAACTGCAAGTAAACTATAGCGCTGTCACAAATTCATACACTCAGCAGTTCACTACAGCACATACTAAGTCTTCTCAGTCTGCAGTGTCTTCGCCAGCTCTTATCTGGTAATGACTTCCCATGCTGCAGTACCCTCAGCTTCCATGTTCACATCCTTACAGGGCAGCAACTGCCTCACAGCTAACTGAACTTATAACACATTGGCAAGGAGCGCATAGAAAACACTGCTCCTCCTCATTGTTATAGTTCAATTACTGCCATGGGAATGTGTTTGTTTGTTAAGCCGTTGCTCAGTAATGACTGTCATATATTTGCTTATTCTGCAGCTGTTGCCTAGCAATGGGTCTGTGTTCCATTTTCCCACATTATGTTCAGTAGCCTGTCAGCCTGTAAATGTGCTGTGCGGTTTTCAGCACATAAGATCTCGGGCTTTTCTGTGATGAAGATTCATACTGTGATATTCTGGATTATGAGACCGAAATTTCGAAGATGATATTTGGGTCGTGGACCAAAGAAATGTTTGTTCAGATAATTTGACATTTCATATATTCTGAGAACATTAAACATAGGTCTGAGTGTAGTGAAATGTGTGTAATTTACTTCAGATTCGCTTAACAATACGAATTCAACACTTATTTGCAATTTATGCAGATTCGTGACCCTTTTGCTGTCATAAGATGAACTACAAAGTTCACCCCAAAATCGATAATTTTACCATGAGTAGTAACAGGGAGGTGACAGAATGAGGCAGACACTTGTGGAACATTTATAGATCTGTTCAGTGCTCACTGTTGTGAGTTTTGAGCAGTTGTATTCAATAATGATTCATGTACTGTCACACAGCAGATGCACTGAAGAAGAAGCAGAAGATCACACCATTCATTCATTCATTTCATTTCATTTCTATTAATCCAGGCTGGTACAACCGTTGGATATAGAGGAAGTCAAAGAACATGCAGTCATAAAAAGATTTTGTCAAAATTAAATATAAAATTAACAAGCAAATATAAATATTACAAGGTAACAATTTAAAAAAATTATAAATACATATAATATTTTGAATTAATAAACAGATAAAACAATTCAAATTATCTAACTTTGTACATAAAAAGTTATCCACAATATAAAATGAAATTAAATTTTAATACCATATTAGCACATCTATTACTGCACTCAAGTCATGGAAAGTTGAATCATTTTATAAAAGTGTGCTAATTAATAGAGGTACAACCACAAAACTACTTGAGCATAAAATACTACCAGTTTGTAATTAGCAGTCATAGAACAAGAAAAAGATAATAAATGACCATAAAATATAACAACGATTTTATGCTGTCTAGGTGGTTAACTAGTTTTATGCTTAAGAAACTCATCAACAGTGTAAAAAGAATGCTCATATAAATATTTTTAATGCTCTCTTAAAACTTTTAATGTCACATGCCAATACTTTAATATTATCTGGAAGATGATTATAAATCTTGACACCTGCATAAGCAGGACTTTTATGAAACATTGTTAGATGAGTCGTTTGTTGGAAAAAATTGGAATTATTCCTAGTATTGAAACTATGAATCTCAGAATTTTGTCTGAACCAAGTTTTATTTGCAATCACAAACAGAGCCAAGGAGAATATGTACTGTGAGGCCAGAGGTAATATATTTAATATTTTAAAGAATTTTCTGCAGGAATCCCTAGGTCTTGCCTTCATTA